CCTTTCACAACCATCCTCTTCTTCTTGTTGTGAGCAAAATTAGAGTACCTATCCTTTCATTCATTCTATGAAAAGAAATAGGTTAAACCCTAATACGACTAAATATTTAGTTTTTATACATACAAATCTTCGATTGCTTTCAAGAAAAAGTAAGAATTATTATAAGGGTGAAACTAAAATGTAAGATACTGATAGTGATGAGTAGAATCCATTTGTAGGGGCTGATATTCTTAAAGTTACTACTCTTTCCCTTGATGAACTAGATTTATAGGCAATGTTTTTTTAGTGATGATGAAGAAGGGAATGATGAAATTAACACTATTAGAGTGTGAATACTTAACTTTTTTTGTTGTTAATTGTAGAATAATTTATAAATTTATTTTTTCGTTAGAATCTTATTTGTTGAAGAATGTGATTCACTTTGTTATGACACTTTTAATTGATTGTTAAATAATTTTATATTATTTAATTATGTTCATATTAAATTTTATTTTATTTTATTATACACAGACATACTTGTATCCTAGTTTTTGAATAATTAATATACCTTCCTATTCATATCTGTCCCGGTACCCGTGATATACCCCGTATCCATGCAACTTAGCTGTAAAGTCTCCAAATCATGGAGGATGCTTTTGATCTCAAAATGTTGTTGATGTTTCATCAACATTAGAATAAGTCTCTAAGGCAGCACTCCATATTTCATGGGTTGTATCATGGTGCATGAAGTTTTCCCTAGTTTCGTTGGTAGCCATGACATTACAAGGCTGTTCTTGAGTTTTCACTTCTGGTAGCTAGGATCATCTTTTGTTAGTTCCTATGATTCATCAGTAATATATTGCTCCTTTCCCTTCCATTGAAGGCAAATTCAAATAAATCTAGTCTATTGGGTGTAATTCTAGCCATTTAGTTTATAGTCAATAATAGGTAGGATGATTGGTTCGGTCATGTTTGGAACATAGGTGTGTCCTTCCCTTGCCTTAGATTTTGGATGAATGACTTTGTCAGTCATGGATAATATCAAAGGAAGTTACGTTTTGATCGGATTGTACGCTCTGATACCATGTAGAAAAGGTATTATATTTCTTTAATCTAAATCAACTACAAATTAAGCTATAAATGCACAAATTAAGAGGATGCCATCAGTGATACAAAAAATAAAATAAAATAAATAAATTGAATCCTAGATTTCTTACTTACTATTATGTACATGATTGTAGTCTAGGAAATTTACAATCATCAATTGGACTTGATTCTCGCTAATTTTCATTGGCAAAAAATCCTGTCACCAAGGCTACTGATATAAATTGTTTTCATTTAACTTTAGTTTAGCCAGTTGTACTGAAAGAAATCTAGACATCTACCGTTGCAATTACTTTAAGAAAGTCTTTGCTGACCAAGTTTCAATGATTAAACTCAATTCAATGTTTCAACCCTTCATCTAGTTACAAATATATTAGTACTGTTTTAAAAAGTTATTTATTTCAAAAAATATACTAACACAATAAAAATTGATAAATAGGTGTCGTAATAAGTATAAAAATCTTTTTGTACAGGTAATCTTTTTTTTATAACTAATGAACCAACCAGATGAAAAAAAGGGTAGGGTATGTGTGATAATTGATCCAGAAAATTTACATGCTGGCAAATATGTAATCGCCATAGCAATTAACTTGGGAGGATTGTAAATCCCGAGTCCCAAATGCAAACACCTCCTTTCCACAAGAAACGGCAACGGCAACGGCTATTGCTTTTTGTTGATTATACTTGATACTGGGTTAATTTCCGGAGGTGCAGTGCTGGTGCTAGGATGTAGTCTACAATAATTGGTGCCCTCTTTAATAATAAGAAATTTGCTTTCGTAGACATCATAGCCATAATTCAGGTTCGTGTTTTCACATCATGCATGGTAAGGGTCCCTTTTAGAATATAGACTAATCATCAGAAACATGATTTATACATATAATATCAGTTTCTCTATCTGACCCCTACGTTATTTGATCAATTGGATTAAAATTACGAATATTTCAGGACAAAAATTTTATGGCCATCCGTCAATAAGAGGCTACCCCATTGCAATATGCTTTCGTTTTCAATCAATCCATGCCCTCTAATACTTCAGCAACCACTTTCCAACAAACCTAAATCAAACATTTATAACTTGAAAGCATGGCTTAAAGTGATATTCATTATCGAGGAGCTTACCCTTTATGGTAGGTACATGTAGATCCAAATTGGCGTATGACAGTTCGTTTCATTCTTTTTCATTTTATCTATTTCGACTAATCCAAACTTAACATTTGATTCCCTTTGATATGGCTTTTTATAGAGTTGAAAGACAAAGGCGCTATAAACCCTATGAGCAATCATGTTTGCCAACCAGCTAGCACTATAGATGTGATGATATATTCATGTCAAATCATCAGATGTATATTTTACTCCCTAATTTGGTCGCATAATTTTAAAAAACATGATAAAATTTGATGCCCTTTCTCCAGAATTCAGAATTCTTTTATATTAATCTAGAGCAGTTCACTTAATGTTTTTTCTTTTCTGTTTTTTTTTTAAAGAAAATGGTCGTGAGAGACATGAAAAACTGTCCCCATGGCACGTGGGACGCAAGCAAATTGTTGAAGTTTGAGCACAAATGGAAACGACAAACAGAAGAGAAAGTCGTGGAAAAGATAAATTGCATTCATATGTTTGATTGATTCAAACAGGTTTATTCCATTTTCTTTCTCATCAGTTAACCCGGTCACACAGGGTGTTGATGAAAATTTTGATTCAGACACAACGACAAATGAATTACAGTGCACACCTTCTGTAAATTTCATAAAGTATTTACTTAATGAAAAATGAGCTTTAAGTTAATTAAAATACTTCAATGCACATCATATAGCTGCTGATGAAAATAATTTCTTTTTCATTCACTCTTTTTCTCACCTCTCTCTCTCACTCTCTCAAAGGATAGTGAAATATTCTACATGTTTAAACAAGATAATAATGGAAATTAAAAATGAGTTTTAAGCAATTGGTTTTATTTAAGATTTTTATATGAAAAATGTATTTATTCTTCTCAACATTTTTTCTTAAAGGGCATTTTTTACTGAGAATCTGACTAATATGTGTTTGACACAGTTTAAATTTGAAAAAAAAAATATTTTAAATCTCTTAACAAATTAATAAAATTAAGTTGAACTAAATACTCATTAAATTAAATGTAAGTAGCATGTGTAATTCCAATATTAACATAAACCTCCTTAATTGTGTGTGTCGGTGAAATATTGAATAAATTTGGCAACATATTCCTTGCTAAAATGAAAATGACAATTGTATCAAGTCCTTGATCAGATGACCTACACCAACGCTGTGGACGAAACAAATTATTAGTACTATGCATTGGTCACAGTTGAGATGGCCTACATTGATTTTTGTCAAGACTGCACTCCCTACGTGTTTTCATTTTGTAACATGAGACATTATTATCCCAACTCCTTCACTCCACACTTCCTTCGCCACCATGGATGTCCCACATTACTGTAGTAGAAGCCAACCACAAATTATGTACATTGAGATGGTCAGTACCCAAACTATAAGTCTATAAGGGGTCCAGCCATTCTCTACGGCTTTGTCAATCACCAGCTGATTTCTATTGTTGGGCTCAACGGCAATAGCAACGTCGTGGACCTTACGTTGGTTGGGCTTTGATTGGGGTGCGTAGGTTTGAGCTCACAACTTCTTTGCTAATGGATATAGAATTTTTTAATTATAAAAATATAATTTTTTTGGTAAAACTATAGAAATATATATATATATATTTTTAAAATTTTTTCAGTGGTAATTTTTGATACATTTAAATATTTTATTATTATTTTAAAAATTATTATCGACAAGTTTTATTTTTTAAAAAAAATTATCATTAGTTATTTTTAAAATTTTATTACTTTTTTACTTTTGAATTCTTGTCTCTATAAAAATTATAAATTAAAATTTTAAAAATTTATAATTTTATAATTATTTTAAAATACTATATTTTTACATAAGAAAAGAATTTTCTTACACCAGCTCAATCTGAGTCTTTTATTTAATTTAAATCTAATAATTAGTGAAGTAATAAATTATAACTTGTTAAATTTAAGTTAAATAAAAAATTTAAATTAAATATAAATTTTTTTAAACTTACACTAATATAAAAAAATTTGTGATTAAAACTATGACCAATAAATAAATTATATATATATATATATATATATATATAATATAATATAATTCTAAATCATGACCAATAAATATTATGTTAGAACTGTTTATTGAAAAAATATGACTTATACCTAGAGTCAAGTTTGAGTAAGTTAAACGCGTGAATTTAATAATGAACTATACTTTAAAAAATTATTGAATTAAAAAAAGTCATTTAAAATTTATTTTTAAGTTTAATAAACTGACTTGTAAATAATAAGCAATAATAATAAATAATATTAGAAAATATTTAAATTTTTCTATCATATTTGGATATTATATATTCGTTAATTTATTTAAAGACATATTAATTTATTTGGATATAAGTTTTATTAATTGATTTAGATAAAATTTTAAGCTTATTTAAAAATATTATTATAAAATAGACGTTTTAATAAATTTTTAAATGAAATAGAATTTTAAAAAGTTAAAGCTAGACGTTAAGAAAAGGCATACATCAAATGGATGGATTAAATTCAATATTTGATTTAAAAATTAGGTTGAACTCACATCTTGTACGTATAATTCAAATTTTAAAAATCATCAGGATGCAATAACTAATTGCAAGTAGTTCATTTTTACATTTTTACTTAATCGGGCAGGCTACAGTTTGTAATAGAGTTGTAATTTACTGAAAAAAGGGAAAAAGAAGAAAGAACACGAACGACGTGTCGTTCAGAGGCCCAGAGTATGGCTGCGCTTCTACTAGCAGAAGTTGAATCTGAAATCTGAAATATCTACTAAAAAGTATCGCTAAACGAAGGGTGTGGCGCGTTGCTTGACCTTATCCAACTAAAACCCCTGCAACACAACGCCCCAAACCCTGTCATCTATGGTGTCAAAACCCATACAAAACCCCCACCAACCACTGAACCAACCATCTTAATGTTCATCGCCCACCTTCTACAAAGAACATTTCCGTCCACACTTATCCTCATCTACGCTAATGGAACTTTCTTCCTCCTTTTTACTCCCCCCAAAACCATGTTCGTCCTCACCACCTAACTTCTCTTTCTCATGCTCCCTCTCTCCGTTTCCCATTCAAGTTTTCATCAGAAATTTCAAATCCCGAAACCCCACGTCCCAAAGCTTCCGTATTTTCGCGGTTGCCTTAGAACCGCAACGGGAACTCCCCGGAAACAGTCCTCAGAGACTTCTCAAGGAACTCGCGGAACGCAAAAAGGTGACTTCTCCGAAAAAGGGACCCCCAAGAAGGTTCATCTTAAGGCCCCCAATAGATGATAACAAATTAGCAGAAAGGTTCCTCAATAGCCCCCAATTGTCTCTGAAATCGTTCCCTCTGTTGAGTTCCTGCTTACCCTCGTCGAGGCTCAACAATGCCGATAAGACGTGGATGGATGAGTACTTGCTGGAAGCGAAGCAAGCTTTGGGGTACTCTCTTGAGCCCTCGGAAACTCTCGGGGACGATAACCCGGCAAAGCAATTCGATGCATTGTTGTACTTAGCGTTTCAACACCCGTCGTGTGAGAGAACGAAAGCACGACACGTGAGATCGGGGCATTCGAGGCTGTCTTTTCTGGGGCAGTATGTGATTGAATTGGCCCTAGCTGAGTTCTTCTTGCAGAGGTATCCGAGGGAGTCGCCGGGTCCAATGAGGGAGAGAGTGTTTGGTTTGATAGGGAAGAAGAGCTTGCCCAGGTGGATTAAAGCTGCTAGCTTGCAGAATTTGGTGTTTCCATATGATGATATGGATAAGATGCCGAGGAGGGAAAAGGAGGGGCCTGTAAAGTGAGTTCTTAGTTTCCTGCGAAATCTTGTTTCTGTGATGTGGTTTGGATTCTGCATTTTCTTGTGGAATAGTGTTATTTCCGTCTCTTAGCTAGAATTGCATTTACTCACATTATGTGTACTAAAGCATCTAAATAAATATTAGAAAGCAACATGATGTCTACTCTATATGATCATTTCGTGGGACTGGCTACACGGAAATGTGGAGTGATGTAAATCCTTGTAAGCTTAGGTGCCATTTTCTTTTCTGGTCAAAGTTTGGTGATTGATGAATCAAAATAATAAGATGCTTGGGTAGCTAAATGTCTAAAAGGATCTAGGAAAGAAAAGACAAAATCTTGAAGATTTACCTTTCTGGATGATATTTTTATTGCCTTAGGGTTATTTATGTGTGGTGGAACTGTTTTAATCAATGGAGTTGGTCATCTATTTCTGAAATGACTTGTTCACCGTGTTAAAATATCCTATATTGGCTAAAAATATGGTGAGAATACTCCTTGTAAGACTTGGCCACTTTTACTTCTTTCAATTAACTTTTGGAAGTAAGTTAGGCTCAATTGATTTCATTACTCTGCCAGGTCAGTATTTTGGGCTTTGCTTGGGGCTATCTATCTTTGTTTTGGTATGCCAGAAGTGTACCGTGTTCTTTTTGAAGTCTTTGGAATGGATCCAGATGAAGAGGATTGCCAGCCTAAATTGCGCAGACAACTTCAAGATGTGGATTATGTATGTGCTGAGTTTGAAGGCAAGCTAAGCTGGCAAGATATTGTTGCATACAAGGCAAGCTACGCATATCTTCTGCTAAAGTATTGTTTATTTAAAATATGTTAGTCAATAAAAATCTACATATCATGCTTGTAGCTGAGACATAATCTATTTTGATTAGAAATTCAACTGTGTTTTCTGCACCACTTGATTAATTCTGATGCAAAATGCCTTCCCTACAATAGAATACTTTATTTATAGATGGAGACATGGAAATGAAGTTTACTGTTCTTCATTCAGCCTCCTGCAGATGCTCTGTTTGCTCATCCAAGGCTGTTCAGAGCTTGTGTTCCCCCAGGCATGCATCGGTTCAGAGGAAATATATGGGATTATGACAGCAGATCCCAAGTTATGAACACTCTTGGATATCCATTAGAAATGACAGACAGAATTCCAGAAATTACTGAAGCCAGGAACATAGAGCTTGGACTTGGATTGCAGGTAGCTCTCCTCTTGCCTCTCATTCTACTTTCTTTTAGCTCTATCAGGCTATCAAAGTACAGATCTGGCTTGATTTGTTCGGGTAGGACTGGTTATACCTTTGACTGAACAAGTGAACAAATGAATATTAATTCTTCTACTTATCTCTTCTTGGGTTTCGCATTAGATGGCATCAAATATGTCTAGTGATAGTGAGGGTTTAAAGCCTTGAAGGTTTGTTTGTAAGAGTTGCAGAGCTATTTACATCAGTGATGCTTTTTAGTTTTAATGTAGAAATTAGTAAGGTAAATTTAAAAGAAGCAGAAATGATGAGGGCTGGCTACACAATTGTTGATAACTATTTTTGCTTTAGACCATTTTATTTTTACCTGTTTTAGGTATCGCCTTACTGTGTTTTGCTCATCTATGCACATTTCGCATGATAACAACAAAGTCCAGCCTTAAAACCTCCCAAATAGTAAGCATTTTAATAGTTCAGGTTGGAAAAAGTCAATGTATTTGTTTTATTAGGTCAACTTGGTTCGTTCTGTTAGACACTTTCATGGAAGATGTAAGTTGGTAGTCATAAGTTTGAAAGTGGGCTTCTGTTGTAAGTTCTGATGTGGAATGTCTTATCTATTTGCAGCTATGTTTCATGCATCCCTCAAAGTACAAATTTGAGCATCCTCGATTTTGCTATGAGAGATTAGAATACATTGGCCAAAAGATACAGGTACTGTTCTGCCTGCTATCCATAGGACCATTTGACTGCAGTTATGGAAAGGCTCCTTACTCAAAGCTTATTTAGAATCGCAGATTTTCTTCACCATTGGATAATGTATAATTTTTATATACTATTTTCTTTAGGATTTGGTGATGGCTGAAAGATTATTGATGAAGCATTTAGATGCTCCAGGATTGTGGCTACAACAGAGGCACCGTGGCCTTCTTATGAACAAGTATTGTGGAAGATATTTGAGGGCCAAACATCTCCACCGGGTTATTATATATGATGACAGGGTTCAAGACACTTATGAGCACAACCGAAGAAAGAGAAACCCGGCCACAACAGCTGTTCAACAAGCCCTTCATGGGCTTTCCTATCTTGTTTATGGGAAACGTGATGTGAGACGTCTAATGTTTGAGGTTTTTGACTTTGAGCAAATCCAGCCTAAAGAAGTCTAAATATGAAGACAATAGCGACACAACGATAGAGAGCACATTCGTTTTTCATTTTTATCTCTTTGGTTTTTCTTTTCTACCCGTTGATTTGGGCTTTCTTCTCATATTATGATTATGATTTGATCCAGCATGTTGTAGGCGATTTGCAAATTCTTCGGAAGTTGCGCTTGTATATATTCGATGTATTTTATTGTTTTGATACTGTGCGCCGTAGACAACCCCAAGTGCAAAGATGAGGATACATATATGATTACTTGTTCTTCTCCTTGACTTAGACCATAGAACAAAAGCATGACGATCAAAATGCGACGTTGGTATGATTATTTGGTAATTAGACTTGAGATTTTCACAACGTATATGAGAAAACCAAGAATAGCCCGCACTCCAAATTCATTTTAAAGTAGAGTTTGAGAAAACACTGATCATCTACATAATTTTCATTTATAATTGACAGATAATTCTACGGGTTGTTATGATTATTTGATAGGTTTCTGTTTTCGCGATGAACCAAGCTAGGCTTACAAGCAGGAGTCCATCGGCAGAAGGGTTTAGCAAAAACGGGTTTCTCTAGCTCGTTGACTGTTTCCTTTACTCTTCTCCTTTTTACTCGAGAAAAGGATTTTATTGAGGAGTGAGTACAAGAGGTACTCCAACAAAAAATGACACACACACACGGATGTTAATTAAGAGTTTAATTGCATACAAGTAATGTTGCACAGCACTAATATGAGTTAGAGCACCTGGTTGGAGAGATTTACGTAAAAACTAAATTCAACTCCTGATTTTTATTGAATTGAGAAGACTAAAAACTCTCTTTTGTTAAAAACTATTAAATTATGCAGTATATATATTGACCAAATAACATTAACGGACACTTCTTTTAGACTATTGCTTTGAATCACATATTCATCTATGTATTTGTAAAGATCTAGAGTTAATTTATTAACTTACCTTTATTATTTTATCTTAAAAGATAGAGGTTTTAGTTTTTATCCAAATGACTAACGAGTATATCACTTTTTTTTTCTCATTTATTAAGAAATGAAACTTTTATTTATGGAGAGACAAGCTTGCATAGGGGTGTCCACGGATCGGTTTGGTTCGGGTTTAGGAGAAAAAAAAATCCGAACCGATCAAAAATTGATTGGTTTGGTTTGGTTTGGATTTGTAAAAAAAAATTGAAAATCCGAACCAAACCGAACCAAACACGAACGGGTTGGTTCGGTTTGGATCATCGGGTTGTCCGATTAAATAAACTAAAATAAAATATGTATAAAAAAAATAGAAAAATATCAATATTTTTCATTTGAATAATTTTTTACACATAAATTTAACACAATTACACAACATTCTAATACAAATATATAAATTCAAAATAAGTCTCAATCAAAACAAAAAAATTAAATTCAAGAAGTGGATATATTGGGTTGAACTTGAACATCTGTAAATGCTTCAGCCTCAGCCATCTCTGAAGCCAAAATAATTCAAACAGAAACATAAAAAGGGAAAAAAAATTAGTTCAAAACAAAATAAATATAGAACTTTGAAGATATAGATTAAAAAATTAACAAGTTCAATACCTTCTCCAAGCATCGTAAGTTGATCCATTTCAGCCTGTAAATCAACCTTCTTGCTAGCTTTTATCCAATTTTGGGTACAAATTAAAGCTTCAACAGTTGTGAGACTTAAACAACTACGAAATGGGTCAAGAACTCGACCTCCTGTGCTAAATGTTGACTCAGAGGATACAGTGGACACTGGAATAGCCAATATATCTCTAGCCATATGAGAAAGAACATAATATTTCGTTGAGGACTTTGATTTCCACCATTGCAAAATATCAAATTCGGGAGCATTGTCTTCAACATCATCCTCCAAGTACCTTTCTATCTCATTCCTTTTCACTTGACCTTGCTTTTTTTTCACATTCATTCTAAATTCATCCTCCCATGCATCATCATCATCATTACCATCATTGCTAATATCAAGATTAGACTGAGAGGCAACACTACTAAATTCATCAATAGGATACTGTGTCATATAAAGTTCAACCAATTTATTGATGAGGTCCTTCAACTTTTTCATCAATTCATTGCATTTTTCTACACAATACATCTGCTTAAAACAAAACTCAAGGTACTCAAGCTTATAGCGAGGATCAAGGAAAACAGCCACAAATAGGAGATAATTTATAGTGTCATTCTCCCAATATTTGCTAAACTTGACTTGCATATTTTTTGTCATCCTTTGTAATACAATATCATTACTTTGCCTCCACTTATTCAATGTTTTTTTAATATCTTTCAACTTATGGAAGAAAGTATTAGATATAACATGCAATGATCCAGAAAAGGAAAGAATTGCATCAAAGAAAATTTTCAGAAACTTCACAAACATGCGTGCACGAGTCCAATCATCGCTATTAGGACACCCCCTTCACTCTCAAGATTTATTAAATAGGCAGGATCATCATACTCAAGACGACTAAATGCTTTCTCATATTTTTCAGCAACTTCTAACATTAAATAAGTGGAGTTCCACCTAGTGGGACAATCAACAATTAACAATGCTTGACTAGGTATATTTGCCTCTTGAGCACACCTTTTAAAAGTGGCCAATCTAAGCGGAGATCCCTTAACAAACTTACATGCAGCTCTAATTCTAGCAATTGAGATATCAATTTCCTTCAAACCATCACCAACAATTAAGTTCAAAATATGGGCACAACATCTCATATGCATGTACTCTCCATTTAATAAAGTTCTACCATTCCAATCACTCATGCCCCTAATTAAATATGAAATAGCCAAGTTGTTAGCACTTGCATTATCAACAGTTATACAACAAATCTTTGAAATCCCCCAATCTTTCAAGCATTTCTCTAGGTATTTACCTATGGTGTCACCTTTGTGGTCAGTAATCAACCCAAAGCTTAATATCCTTTTATTCAATTCCCACCCAGCATCAATATAATGAGCAGTCACACAAATATAATTCATGTTTTGAATTGAAGTCCAACAATTAGTCGTAAGTGAAACCATTTGATCATTTTTAGACATTATAGCTTTCAACTTCTCCTTTTCTGATTCAAACAGTAGCATGCACTCTCTAGCAATAGTTTGTTGAGAAGGAATTTTGAATCTCGGTTGAGCCTCAAGCATAAATTTTCTAAATCCGAGACCCTCAACAAACTTAAAAGGTTGCTCATCCATAATTATCATCCTAACAAGTGCTGCCCGGGTTCGATCTTGATTAAAATCAACAAGTTTAAAACTAACAGTAGAGGCATCCTCACTCTCCTTTCCAAGTGCAAGTGTTTTTTGTCTCTTATTAACTATCCTATTTGGGTTTTTCGGACAACACAAAATATGCTTATTCAAGTTTGTGGTTCCATGGGTAGAACTATTAGATGCATATAACTTTTGGCAATAGTTACAAATAGCCTTATCATTTTGTCTAGTGAAATGTTCCCAAGCATTGGATGGCGGTCGACTAGGTTTTCTTTTTAATACCTTGAGTCCTTGAGTTTGCGTAGGAGTCTCTTGTCCCTGTGTAGGAGTCTCTTGCAGCAATGGAGTGTCTACATCACCTTGCTGTAGTTCCATGCCACTTGAGCTTGTTGGGGTATTCTCAGCAGTTTCACTGTTATTTGCCATTTGTGGGCTGCAAAATCATAAGCATAAACAGATTTCAGAGCAGAGTAAAAATTAAAAATAGAAAAAGTAGAGAAAAAATTAGACATATACTCACTTTGATTTAGATTTGAGATGCGGAAGCGAGAGAAATCCAAGTTGAGCTGTAGCGGAACAACAAAACAGGTTAATGACGGTTGTCCTCACCAGCGGCGTAACTAGGTTAAGGGGTGCAACGTTTGCAGAGCGGTTCCAATGTAACCACTCTCCAAAGGTCACTTCGGAGAGCGGTTATATTGGAACCGCTCTCCAAAGTTCACTTCTGAGAGCGGTTCGGATTGAACCGCTCTCCAATGATCACTTCTGAGAGCGGTTGAAATTGAACCGCTCTTCAAAGTGAATTTGCTCGGGGTTATCGGGTTGATATAGTAATACCCGTTATTCAAACCAAACCACGTCGGATTTGATCGGTTTGGTTCGGATCAGACCCGTTAAGCATTGGTTTGGATTTTTTTTAGTTTAGATCAGTTTGGATTATTGAGTTTATTGGTTTATCTGATCCAATGGACACCCCTAAGCTTGCACACTATTTGTATAAAATTTTGCGTACTACCAATCATTTAAAATACACTGTGAACATAATTTTGTTATATTAATTATTTTAACAAATAGTTATAAAAGTATAATTTTCATTTAGTTTAGAAATTGTCCAGACATAATACCTGAAATTATAATTCTTGCTAAAAAGTGTAAGAATCTTTGTAACGGACTCTAATTGGGTTGCTGAAAGATATTTTGGAGACAAGTCACTAATTGCCACGTCGATGGATTCTTGACGCGGACCTGCAGGATTGGTCCAAGAATAATACAGAAGAATCCCCCATTTGGGGATATTTTAAACGAACACCAGACCAAACGCAGTCTTATTGCATTTGTTGCGAAGCGTAGATAAGCAGAGGATGACATGGGCACATAGAGATATGCAAACAAATCACACTACTAATACTACAGCTCCGCTACTTGCTGGTTAGGGTCCTCAACCTCCTACCGTGCGTATCGAAACTTACATCACCACCGTCGCACCCAAAACACTCACTCCAAACTCGGGATCTCAGATTCCACGCGCCAAGCCATGTCCAAGGCGCGTGTCTACACCGATGTCAATGTTCTTCGCCCCAAAGAGTATTGGGATTACGAGTCTCTCGCCCTTCAATGGGGGTAATGTTTCGAACCCTAATATCTCTGTTTCTGTGTTATTGTTTCTGATTCCAAGGAGTGTAATCCCCAATGAAGGAGAATTTTGTTGTGGTATGACGTTAGAGTGTGTGCATAGTTTCTTATATGCTGTTTTGTTGTATTCTTCCCCATTCCTCGTGAAATCGAGTAGTTTCAACACTTTTATCTCGCATTTTTTTATGGACGTGGGATTATGCCATTTATGTTGCAATGATATGCTTTTGATTCAATCCCGTGCTTTTGGTTAGCTTTTGTTTTAGCACCAGTGACGGAAGCTGATCGAGAATCACCTTGTACAGCAGAGTTGATTGATCGAATTTGTTCTCTATAATTCTTATACCATTTTTTTTAATTTACCAAGGTTTGCCTGCATTAGATGTATTAGTTCTTGGCTCATTATTTTGTTTAAATGGAATGGGTGGTTTTGGGACCTTTTAATGAATTCTTCTCAATGTTTATCCATATGAGGCCAATGTCTAAGTACCCTCTAAACCCTCCTTCTTTTTACATTTTTCGTTCCAATAATAATTATAAATTTGCCATATGCCTTCTTTTTTTCAGTGATCAAGATGATTATGAGGTTGTGCGAAAAGTGGGAAGGGGGAAATATAGTGAAGTTTTTGAAGGCATAAATGTTAATAGCAATGAGCGCTGTATAATCAAGATTCTGAAGCCTGTCAAGAAAAAAAAGGTGCTCCTGTTTTTGTTTGTCCTGCTTTTATCCTTACTTGGGAACCTGCAGCTATGAATCAAGCCAGCTAGGGATGCTTTATCAAAACTATTCTCCTAAAATCTTCTGCATAATGAATAATGTTATTTACACTAACAAATTTCTCACACACTTCTTGTGATGAATTTTGTGTGGTATTGATCATTGTTGCTCTGTATTGTACGACAATCATTTTTGTGTGGGATAATGGCATGATATGCGACAACATTGATAGGGTAATAATTTAATTATATTGCATGGCTGCAGAGACTGCCATATAGCGTTTCAGGTGAGAATTGGAGCTTCAAGCTCGATAATTTTTCTTGAAAAAAGGAAAGTGCCATTGTAAAATATCCAGAGGACCAACTTATTCTATACACACACAAATGTAGATCAAAATCACTATTACACCATTAAGCAAGTTCTTACTGGATCATTTTACTACAAAATCCACCATTACATTGAAAAATCATAACATATAGATCATATTTATATATTTTTTCATTAATCCAAAATTGTTTTTTAATTCATTAATGTACTATTACACATCAAGATTAGCATAATACATACTTTTGAAATATGTGAAAATTAAAATCATTTGATTATATTTTTATTTTTGTTCAATTTTTACAAGGTTTGACATAAATAATTAAGGTAATGGATAGTTATAATTCCCATGGTGGTTACACTGATAAAAATAATGTTTTTTTTTCAAGTTATTGAGTGGTATAAGAATGTCAAGTCATACACTGATGTTAGTTGATCCCTCTCTGCTGCACCTGCAACATGGTTCTGCAAATCCCATTCTGTGAATCCTTAGAACTGCTCTGGTCAAACCAGTAGTCCACCTTATGATGTTAATCATTTAAGCTAAGAACAAAGACAACTTTGGTTCCCCTTTTTTGGCCAGGGAGAGCATCTCCATATTTTTTAATTTTATAATACACTTTCCAGCTTTAATTCTTGTTTGTTTTTAAATTTTATTTTGTTTCATGTACTATGCCAATTCGATTCTTCTGAGATTTTTTTTCTTACCTTTTGAGCTCTTGAACATCATTTTGCAGATTAAAAGAGAGATAAAAATACTTCAGAATCTTTGTGGAGGCCCTAATATCGTCAAGCTTCTTGATATTGTTAGAGATCAACATTCAAAAACTCCTAGCTTGATATTTGAGTATGTCAACAGTACAGATTTCAAAATTTTGTATCCAACCTTGACTGATTATGACATACGCTACTACATATATGAGCTCCTTAAGGTAATGTATCCTTCATCTCCTATATTATACTTGGGACTGCCATTATTTGTGTCCTCTCCATAATCAACATATCATTTTTTCTTAAGAAGTATCACCTCAAGTAAGGCTCCATTACATGATTTCTGCACTTGGTTTATGTGTATATAAGGCCTATAGGCTTGTACTTATTTATCATGAAAATTATTCCTAAATATTTGAGCAAATGTGTTGAGAACCCTTCCTTGTTACCCAAATGCTTTAGTTTTGTATTACAGGCCTTGGATTATTGCCACTCTCAAGGCATAATGCATAGAGATGTCAAGCCTCATAATGTAATGATAGATCATGAGTTAAGGAAACTTCGATTGATAGATTGGGGCCTTGCTGAATTTTATCATCCAGGAAAGGAATATAATGTTCGTGTGGCTTCAAGGTACTGTTCTCTGACCAATAGACCATAGTTTCAAAGTGCAGACATGGTATAGAACAGCCTAAATGAGTGTTTTAATATGTTACATAAATTGAAACCAGCTAACAACTGACTCAAGCTTAGTTTTTTAAAATGGAAAAATTGCTGGAAAATTGTCTAAATCATTTTTGTGCCAAGTTTGGTGTAGCCACAAAAGTAATTTTGAAGTTGTGGAAGCATGAACAGAGAGTGCATCACATATACAAAATTTTGAACCAGTACTGTTCTAGAAGGGATTTTTGGTTAATTGAGATGTGACCTTTCTTGCTACTAACATAGTGGCACAAAAGACTCACAAAAAAGGTTATATGGTAAACTACTTTCTCCAATTTATGCAAGATAAATGTTATATACATCTTACAAATTCTCCTGGCTTATAAAGCACCATTGATTGTTTTATGGTCCTTTTCCCTAGGCTTTTATTCTGTGGTTTTCTAGCTTCTTATAACTAACGGTCCTACAATGTTTCCTAAGTAATGTTAAATTAACTGAGGGTTTGATGTGAGCGTAGTTGTATTGTGCTACCCTCCCTCTTTTTTGTCTTTTCTAGCTGAAACTAACTCCTGTCCTTTTGTATGGTGACTCAATCCCAAACTCCACCCTCTAAACTTCTATTAACACTATTGGAAACATATTGAAAGTTTGTAATCTTCCATTGGTTTGTAGTCAAATCAAAAGACAATGGCTAGCTTATTTCTTGTCAAGCATTCTATTATTGCTGTCACAGCTTCCTTTATTTGATTTTTTGTTTTCATTTCTTAAAATTTTTTTTTATAGTCATAAAACTTGACAAGGAAAAACGATGATCTAAATTTTCTAATATTTACATTTAAATGTCACTGACCAAAAAATATTATTACGTGCTCTCCTTTTGTCTCTCAGATACTTTAAGGGGCCTGAACTTCTAGTTGATTTGCAAGATTATGACTACTCATTAGACATGTGGAGCCTTGGTTGCATGTTTGCTGGAATGGTGTGAATTATAGCTACGAGTTACTGGTTATATATATTGCATACACTTGACGTCATTTATGCAGATAGTCTAAATTTGACCACCCATGATTAAAACCGTGTAATTCTTGTTATGATTTGTTCATTGTTCGTTGTGTAGATATTTCGCAAAGAACCTTTCTTTTATGGTCATGACAACCATGATCAGCTTGTCAAAATAGCTAAGGTAACATCGACTGTATTTGGTATTATTTATAAATTCTTGATTATTTTGCTGATGCCGTACAAATTAATGTCGGTTGTCTAAGTATAAAATCATTGATCATTGCTTAGCATGTTAAAACAATTACTTTTTAAAAAAGTTATCATTATTATATTAGTTACTTATTTGTCATCTGCAGGTGCTTGGGACTGATGAACTGAATGCATATCTTAACAAGTATCATCTGGAACTTGATCCTCAACTTGATGCACTTGTTGGAAGGTATCATCTTCCATTTAAATTTCCACATATTTCATAGCCAGATTCATTTAGTTATTATCAACTGTTTATGATAAATATCTTCCATAGGGATGTAACATTACTAATTCCTCTCCAAGGTCTCCTAGAATTATACTGCTTTTATTTTGACTTTATTTTCTCTTGGTAAATAAATGAAGGGGTATTATTGACCTAACATGTCTATTTATTATGTATTGATATTTTCTTTTGCAGGCACAGTCGAAAGCCCTGGTCTAAATTTGTCAATCCAGATAATCAGCATCTTGTGTCTCCCGAGGTGACTTACGCAATTTTTCTATCCTGCATTACCTCCCGTTTGTACTGCAATTTAACAATTCTTGGATGTCATGCAGGCAATTGATTTTCTTGATAAGCTCCTTCGATATGATCACCAGGACAGGCTAACAGCTAGAGAAGCTATGGTAATGATAAAAGAGCTCATTAATGTGTAGTTTTTTTTTTTTTTTTAATTTGCTGTAACATGTTTCTTATGTTGCGTATACTTTATAATCTTTTGGTTTAACAAATTTATTTTTTTACAAAATCATAATTTTTGTCCTCTAAGTTGCATTTGGCTTTTAGTTTAGTCCCCTAACTTTTTTTTTATTGAAGTTTCTTCTTCAGCACTTCAATGTTCAACCACCATCCAAAACTCCAACTGCCATCAGAAACCTATCCAGCCACCCTATCCTTATTTTGTTCTCCATTTTAGACATCCAACAATCAATATAATTTAAATATTTAAATTTAAATTAACTACCACCACCATTAACTATCTTCATTGTGAACTTGTATCCATATTAAGCACCAAAAGTTGACACGAAAAAATCACTTAAGATATTAGACCGAATTAAAAAAGTTAAGGGAAAATATTGACAAACAGAAACAAAAACGTAAAGGGCTAAAAACTAAATAAAAAAAAAATAAAAGACTAAACCAAAATCTAAATTAAATTTAGAAGACCTGAGATTGTAGTGGTATTATTTTTCGTGTTTTTGTTTAGCTGCTTTTGGATGCGCTAACTTTTTGCTGTCATCTTGGTGTATATCCCGCAGGCACATCCATATTTCTCTCAGGTAAGGGCAGCAGAGAGTAGCAGAATGAGGACACAGTAACTAGATCACATGTGGATCGATAAACTTATTGCTTTATAATACCCTAACGTGCACTTTGGTTACCTTCTGTTTATTATAATAGAGTTGAATATTCTTGTGGAGTGTATCGATATTTATATGTTTCAGTTGAGAAATAATGTTATTGTAAGTTTATGAAAATTGTGATTATATTTGTGCTTAATTAACTTGGGATGTCAACCCCACCACCCCACCCCTACCCTCATCTGCCGTTATTCTACTCACCTTCAATTGTGTGGAGACTGGATATTCAGTTCTGTTTTTTTTTTTTTCCTTAAACAATTTTAAATGGTTTAAGAAAAAAAAATTACTTAAAACATCGCATAAGCGAATTTAAAAGACATGGTACTCAAGCTGCTACATGTATTCATAAAGGGGTGGAACACGGTTTAGGAACTAACAAACAACTTATTTATTAGCATAATAAATAGTAAGTCCCCTTAATTGTATGAGTCTTGTAATCAGGATTTGTGAAAACATAGTCCTCAACCACGTTGAAGAGTCTAATTCCCTTTGCCTTTGTATTCCTACGTAGCTTGTCCGAAACCGGTGTGTCACCTTTGGATGGTATTTGACGCTAGCCTTTGCCAAGGATCCACCATTGGGCCCCGCCAATATATTGGTCTCGAGTTCTACCTTTTTAAAAATTTCCTCTAATCCAGTTCCTCCAATTGTGCTATAGTTGTATCCAAGTTAATTCATCGGTTGCTTCAACTTTGCTTCAACAACAGTGAGCTTCTTGATGGTTCTGGGGTTACCATTTCCCTCAACAATTTCAATACTCTGGATGGCTTCTATGACCTTTGGATGATGGTGCAGAGTCTTTTATAAGAGCTTTAAATAGTTTAAATGAGGGCACAGAGTAGATGCGCTCATGCTCAAAAGAGCAGACACTCAGAGTCCAATGTTTTTTGAAAGACAAAGTGAAAACAATCTGGATCCTTAATTATGTATTCTCTGGTAGGGTTGACGGGTTCGTTTGCAAAAGAACTTGTGCATACCGGCTTTAATTTTATGTCTATTATTTCTGTTGTGGTGGGGTTCTAATTGCAAATAAATGATTTGAGATCTTGGGATACTCCTAGAGGGAATGAGCACGAATAGTGGCAGCCGGCAGATGTTCCCCTCTCCTCCCTCGTTAGTTAATATTTATATACTATTGTGATGTCTCACCACGCCAAGCAAGGCACATACACTGCAAATGTCGAAGATAGGATAATAAATAAATAAATAAAAGAAAATAATGGTTGCTTATTCAATTCAAGAAAGTTTAAAAGAATTCTTCAATTTTAAAATTCTTCTCGAGACAATATCCAAAGTATACTGACATCAGTCCCGACACTTTTTAATCAAATAGTATATTTAATTTAACTAAACTTTTTAAAATGTATAAAAAACCAAAATAAGTTAAAATATAATTCTACCTTTTGAGCCTTCAAAACTGGAATCTTACCCCAAAAAAAGGCCACTTACGAGTTGAAAAAATGCTTGCACTCTTACCCTCTAGTAATTTAAGAGGAAAGTGTGTGTAAAAATAAATTTGAAAAAAACTTAAGAAAAAAAACACTTTTATTTTCTCCTTAAACAAACAAAAATAAAGTCGTCCTCAATATTTTCCTTCCTCTCAACAAGGACTTGGGGTGCAGAAATTAAAATTAATAGTCATATTTTACTGGTATTCGTTAGGGATACATCGAATCCACGCCGGTCGAACGGAGGCACCTACGTACTCAAGTATTCTTGAGCTTATGACACCAAAAATTCCACTTTGCTTCCAGATTTCTGAAGGCCATTATTGATAGTCAAATACTTCTGTAACGCACTTTTATATTAACACAAACGATCATTAACCAATTACAGCTAGACAAAAAGAGAAAGCACCACAGTTTCTTCCCCTCTCGTATCAAGGGGAAAATCATAATATACACGCTCCCCTCATTGTCCCTCCCAATTCCCAAGGCACAAACACAGAAAGACACATTTGATTTAAATAGAAGTTGAGGAAGATCCCTGTGAAATGGTTTAAGGAAGAGGCCATGATGATATCAAGTTTTGTCCACTTGCACTCCCCAATATGTTCACTTTTTAAGATGCGGAAAACAAGCAGTAACATCAGATTTAGGATGTTTGGCTCCAGCATGCTCCCTACACTTCACTTCCGATGTGGTGCACATAAATGTTTGCATGCACACCTTGCACTGCATTCATCAATCACAACATTATCGATGATCAGTAAAGACTTGCAATTCTGTTGCAGTCACTACAGCAAAGCAGTTAGAGAGAGAACAAGATAATAAAAGTAGGGTTCACTTTTTGTTTCTCTCCAATTAAAGGTATTCATGCCATCCACAGCTTATAGGGGATTCAAGTTGATCAGTAAAATAGGATATCACTTATCAAAATCAAACCTGCAAAGTTTGTAAAGATTTTAAATCTGTGATGTAACATCGTCAGCAACGTGTATATTTCAATAATCTTACAAGGAGAACATAAGTGAACACATTGAATGCGTACACAGAAGAGTTTATATGACATAGCAAATTAAAAAACCAAACTCAGCATCATACTGCTTCAATCATGTGGTACAGAGTAAGACTAGAACATGTCATCCCCCCAAGCCCAAAAATAAACCATGGCTTTGATGCAAATAAAGTACACATTTACGAATTAAATAGTTGATACTCATTTACAAATTAGTCCCTATATGAATGATTCATTATCTTTTAATCTCCCTACTAATTTAATATCGTTGGAAAAAGTTACTGTTTAATAAGTTAAAATTATCAAGTTACGTCAACATTTTTCTAACAGTATTAAAATGGCAAAGACCAAAATATAATGAAACACCTATACAAAGACAAAACCTAAATTTCTTAGGTATAAAAACTAATTGGCAAATGAGTGTTAACTATAAGGACCAAAATGCGTATATTAACAAAAAAAATTGAACTAATAGTTACAGTCTTGGTCTTTTCCTTGTTAGGTTTTCCTTTTTGTTCTAATTAGTTTTAGTATTTAAGTTCAGACAAAACAAAATTCATGAAATTGAAGTGATATTTAACAATTTCCCTCGTATTTAGAACTGGCGAGAATTGGCCTGGTATGAAGCAATCACACTTTCACTATTCTCTACTCCAACCTAGTAATAGCATTTTACCCCCTTTTCCATGAGCATGAAATGTAAATGCAGAAGAAATCCCAGAAATGAAGAAAAAACCAAACAACGAGCACTAGCCGCAAAAGATGAATGGCAAACGCAAAACAATGAACAATTTTAGTCATAACAGAAATCCTGCTCAATTAATAAATCTATACAGCAATTTCCATCCAAAACAATGCACAGCAATATTAATTATCGAACTTCATTATTCTATACAAGAAACCGTGCAAGAAATTCAACATATGCGAAGAAAAATAAAAGGAGCGGAGTAAGGAGAATCACAAGCTGGGTTGAGATTACAAACACCATATTACCTGGATCGTCATTGCTTTCTTGTTTGATTCCAGCTGGCTTCCTGCGCATATAAAAAAAATTACAAAAATACGAAACGAAGCCAGATCTAGCACACACCGTCACGATTTTCAGAATCTATCTTTTTTTTCTTTCACAAGTGTTTTCTTTTTCAGCATAAACAATTGAAGGCTTTAGTATGGATTGTAATGCCCAACCATCGTCGTCAATTAAATAGACGATGAATGATTGAGCCAAAAAAAAAAAGACGAATGGAAAATGATTAGTTGGAGAAAGGGGCGAACGGAAAGCTTACCCTTTGCGGCCTTATTCTTCTCGAGATTCTTCTCACGAGCCATCTTTGATTTTTGCCCATTGCCTCCTCCCATGTCTGATACCGCACAGGATGAAACCCACCACACTAATTTTTTCTCGGGTCACGGGAGCAAGAGCTGAAGGAAAACTCGAATGGCGATTTATGGCTAAGAGTCAAGGCCCGAGGCTCCTCGCTAATTATTTGGTCGCACCAAGTTCTCCCAATTTTATTTCTTTTTTTTTTTTGGGGGGGGGGGGGTGTTCAGTAATTTATGATTTGTGGGCTTGAATGGAATATCTTGTATAACAATTTTTTTTAATTAATAGTTTTTAGTTTCTCGAGATATACTTATAAAATTAGATATAAAATTAAAATTTATATATAGAATTAAACATTCAATTTTTTTAGACTACACCAATCGTATTATTTATTAAAGATAATCTTATATTACCACTACTACTTAATACAGCTATATTTACTCGATCTGGAGGTTAAGTTAGAAAAAATCTGCCAGTTGATATTATATATATTGGATTTTTTTAAAGTTAAAATTATAATTTTAAAATTTAATTTTCTAAAATCTTAATTTATGTTCTGTGAAGTTAAAATTATATGTATTTTTTATAATTAGTATTCTTTTTTAGTTAATAGTTTTTATTTTCTTGGATATATTTATGAAATTTGATATAAAATTAAAATTTAAAAATAGAATTATATTTTCATATTATAATTAAAGATATTAAAATATTAAAAATTATAATTATAATTTGTTAGTCTTATTTTATAAAATTTTAATATAATCAAAATTGTTTTTTTAAAAATTTAAATCCTCTAAATTAAAACTGCTAACCTCATATTTATATCGCTTTTATTATTATTTTTACTATATTATTTCTAATGTTATAAGATTCAATATTATTATTATTATTATTATTATTTATACTAATATTTATTGCTATTTTTTTAGCGCTAATTCATTATTACTTCTATTATCATAACTAATGTGACTGTCATTACCGGTGATTAATATCCCGCCTCCACCATTCTTTCAAGCAATTGTGACCTTTATGTCATTATTATTAAATGAGATTTCTTTTCAGTCAAATTCAATATAATTTTACTTATGACCATTTCTAATTAGTTAAAGATTATATTGACGGTAAAACATTTGAGTAACTTGAACAAATTTTTTACAGAAAAAATATTTAAAAAATAAAGAAATACACAAATAGACTCAACAATTAAATATTTACTAAAATGAACCTAATTACTGTAGCAAGAATGCCCAATGAAATTCAGTTTCTGGGAACCGAATTTTAGACTGAATTTTTTATTTTCAAATTTTATTTTATATTTTTATATAATAAAATAAATGTTATTATTTAAATTATATTTATATATTTATATTTTTTAAAATAAATATTTATAATATATTATTTTAATAAATATTTATAAATATTGTGTTAATTATATATAATAAAATAAGTTTTATTATTTAAATTATGTTTATATTGTGAAAATGAATAAAAATAATAAATAATATTTATTTTATATGTTTATTAAATTCTATTTTACATATTTATGATAATAAATAATATTTTTAGATAACAACAATAATTATATTTTTAAAAACTAATTAAAATAATTAAATAATAAGTATATTATTTTAGGTATTTTTTAAAAACTAATTAAAATATTTAAATAATAAGTATATTATTTTATATAGTAATGTTAATGCTTAAATTATTTATACTTAAAAAATAATAATAATATTTTAAAAATTAAATAAATATTATTCTGTTTATTTATTTATTTAAATATGTAATTTTGAGTTAATATTTTTAAATATTAGTATGATAAAATGATATTTTGAATAAAAATTTATTTTAATTAAATTACTTTTTTTAAATTACATTATTTAATATTATAATTTTTTATACCCTAAACCATAAATCATAATACCCAATGTTTAATACCCTAAACCTATTCTAAAATAATTTTTAATAAAATTTATTTGAGAATAAAAATTTATTTTTAAAAAATAAATTAAAAAATAAATTATAAGTTAATTATTTATACTTCAGACAAATATTTTAAAATTAACGTTTTCATAAGGTAATATTGATGAAGACAGAGTACATTGGTAAAAATCATAACAAATTCATAACAACATTAATAATTAACTATCTACGTAATTGTGGCTACTTCTACAACAAGGGCGATGTCTTTGGGGTACTGAGTTTTGTCGTTGTGGTTGTTGCTCTGATATTTTAGGATGAACTTATGGAGGATTTGGATCATTATGAAGGTCTAGTTGTTGGAATGCAGTTGATGAATGACCAGGTTCATTAGCAAAATTCGATTGGTAAAGAGACTGCATGTAAGTTTGTGCTAACGATGGAGTTGTAAAATCAACTCCAAATAAGTTTGTAAAAAAATATTCCGATGTTGTTGCAAACAAATATCTTGTGTTAATTATATTTGCTTTTGACGTAATATTCGGAAGAATTGATGTAGTCTCGTGGTACGACGGTGTGGAAGTTGTACCGATTTCAAATGTGTTGGTAGTCCTTAGTTGTTGGTGGCTCCTCTTTGGATCTTGTAGTAGTGGTGGAACAGATGAAAATAAATGGAATTGGCAATGTACCATTCCATGTATTCTTGTGTGTGACACAATGGGCATTGCATTGAATGGCCCGTTATTGTTAGTTCACGTCTGTTGCTCTATATCTTGATCCATTGAGCATGTTTTGTAGCCCAATTTTTATTCTGTCTTTCTCTCATGTCAATTTTGTGGAAGTTATTCAAATTATTCAATGAAGAAGAAACTTCTTGGAAGAGACAAAACTGTAATTTGACTCTATTTATTTGGTGTCATTCAACAATTACAAAACAAATGATGGCAGTACATGAAGTTCACAATTGAACATCTCTATATGCTTTCATAGGTATTGATGTTTGCAAGTCTTAATATGGCGCCCATAAAAACTACAAATAAATTTAAATTTGTTACTTAAGATGATGTGTAAAAGATAAGAGAATAAATATGAATTCAAATTTTTGTTATGAAGAGTTACTTGATTAGCTTGAATGTGATTAAACATTGATCTGTACCCCACAACATCATTGTGAGATTTATTTCGAAAGTTTAGTACTCTACCCATGCTCCATAAGCACACAAGAGGGTATATTGGTAGATTATTAGAAAATGGCGCAATATATGGCATGCGATACTATGCTCAGGACATTAACAGTGATGAGTAACCACCCATTGTTTTGCTACCAACTTCTGTGGTTCTGCACATTTCTCTGTACAACATAGCTAAACAAATAGAACCCCAACTATATCATCTTGTTCTTCTAAGATTAGTTAATAAAGCTAAATCTATAAGATGTACTTTGTTGCCTGTTTTGTCAGGCATTAAAACAACTCCAATTAAACCTAGTATATAAGCCCTACAATGAACTTGAACTTCTGTTTCAAATGGTTCTTCTGGTAATGACAACATGTTGTCGTTCAGCCACTTCAGTTTCAGCATAAAGCCAATAAGTGACTCTCTCTTGATTGGCACCATACCAAGATATGTGTCACACATTTTATCTCAGTCAAACATTGTTGGAGCAATGACTAGTAATCCATCAACTCTTAGCCCGAGTTGAAGTGTAACATCCTCCAGGGTTATGGTGCACTCTCCTATTGAAAAATAGAATGTGTGAGTTTCATGTCTCTACCTCTTGACCAAAGCTATTATCAATGGGTGATTCACCTTAAGATGCCTTAACTTTACTACTCCAGCAAAACTAAGTTGTTCAAGTATAGGAACAATTAGAGGACTAGGTTCTGGCATTGAATGACAGAAAGATGAAATCATGTTTTCAGTTTCTTGCAGTTATTAACAAATTAGTAACATTATACGTAGATATTAATTTACATATTCAATAAATAATAGTAATGTGTAAAACCTACCGTTCTTCCAATAAAGGCAAACTTGTATTTGTTTTGCTTCTACAACAACATTTTTAGTAATGAGAGCAAAGATAAAGAGAAACAAAGAATAAAGATGGATGCAAGTTTGAATAAAAACATGGGGCCTTAGATGGACATATTTATAGATAAACTTTGGTACATCAAAGTAGCATTGGATTCTTGAAAAGTCACTATCTCTTGGTCTACGTGAATATCAAAAGACATCTTTGTATTTCTTGGTCTACGTGAATGTTAGAAAGCATCTTTGTTTGGAAGGAGATAAAGCTTATTTGGTAGTATATGGGATGGCTTGAATGAGAAAAGAATCCAATACTCGGTGTGACTGAGAAGTCACTATTTCTTGGTCTACATGAGTGTCAGAAGACATTTTTATTGTAAAATATATAATGGTATCATGGAGAGATCACCACCACTCGTAAAAAGTGGTGAAACATTAAATGACTGAGAATCCAATATTACCATTATAAATAGTCATATTCATGTTTATTTTCTTCATTCAACCTTCTAAGCTTGTTTCTTATTCTTGTGAACCTTCTCCTTCTAAACTTATTCATTATTCACTTTCGGTAATCTAAAAATGTCTTCAAGCTATGTCGTTGTTCACTCTGATGGTGCCATTAACCAATATCCTAATGAAGGAGTCACGTTCACCTTAGAATTAGCCAAACAAAGAACATACTGTTGCGGGTCTCTCAATCAAAGAACATGTTGTTGTGGGTCTCCCATTGCCTTTGTTGTGGTTGAAGGTAAAACAAGCAATGCAGTGATTCCTTTTTTTTAGAAACTTAAGGAGGTACGTAACACCGCAAGAGGGGTTGTGCCTCATTTCGGATCGTTATGAGGTCATAAGAAGTACGTATTTCAGAAATGGAAGTGGTTGGACAGAAAACAATTCTGTCTATGCCTATTGCATTAGACCCATTGCACAAAACTTTTTTCAACGATTCGAAAATGTTGCACTGAAGAAAGATGTCATCAATATGGGTCATTTTAATTTTTTACGTACTCTATATTATCATTAATATTTTATATAATTGTTTAACTAGTTATATTAATTTAATTTATAATCTTTTTTTCTAGCATATGGGATGACTAAATCGAGATTATTTTACTATTACAACATAGTAAAAGATAATAATTCTGAAGCTGCACAATGGTTGGACAACATCTTAAGGGAAAAATGGATGCTGGCATGGGACAACAGACGACGCTAAGGACATGACAATAACCCTAGCGAAGTCAATCAATTCGGTCTTGAAATAAATCAGAAACCTGCTAATTTGCTCTATGGTCATGGCAACATATACTCGTTACAATAAGTTCTTCAGTGAGAGAGGCAAGAAAGTAGATGCAATGATTAATGCTGGACATATGTAATCAGAGGTTGCAACTAAAGCAATTCAAGATGCACACTCAAATGCGAACACTCATAGAGTCATCACTTTTGACAGAACAAGCACTAGATTTTTAGTTGAAGAAACGCAACATTTGACAAAAATTCGACCCGTAAGAAGATTTATAGTATGATTAAATAAAATGTGGTGTGATTGTGGCAAGTTTCAAAAAGTTCACATTCCATACTTACACACACACCACAACTTTGACATCTACATATCTCTCGTGTATACCTTACAACAAGTTTTTAAGGTATACGAAGGTCAATTTGAAGAACTCAGACATGAAGACTATTGGCCAACTTACACAGGCCCAACTTTGTGTCCAAATCCATAACTGAAAAGAACTTCAAAGGGTTGACCTAAATCCAGTAGGATAAAAACAGAGATGAACATTAGAGAACGACAAAGTCAGACAAAAAATTGTTCTTATTGTCACACTCCTTGTCACACAAGGAAGACATATTCAAATATCGCTCAAGCTTCTAGTTCCCGCCATTGATTTATGTTGTTATTACTTTCAAATTTTCTTAATATCATTTTTAATTTTATGAATATCATTACAACTTATAAATTTTTAGTATTTGTAATTTATATTAAATATATAATTATATATATCTACATAATATTATTTAATAATGTTTATTAATATTAATAACATATTTTTTTAAATAAATAATTATGTATAAATTTTAATAAAGATTAATATCTCAAAATAAATAAATATTTATTAGAATAACATATTATAAATATTCATTTTAACAAAATATAAATATATAAATATAATTTAAATAATAATATTTATTTTATTATATAAAAATATAAAACAAAATTTGAAAATGAAAAAAATAAAAAATTCAGTCCGAATAAACCGAATTCTGGCTGAGCATTCTTACTACAGTAATCATGATTATTTTGGTAAATATTTTATTGTTAGGTCTATTTGTGTATTTTTTTTATTTTTTAATATTTTTTCTGTAAAAAATTCTAGCTTGAACAGAGTTATAAATTTAAACTTTACTGCTATAATTATACCCATGAAAAAAGGTTCACTTGGTAATCGGTGAACTTATTAAGATGGCAACAAAATTAAAACTATAAGTAAGTTATTATCTATGGCACTTGGACTGCCAATAAAAAAAAAGTTACATCTTAACTATTAATTATCCCTAGAATGAAAAGTACGCACTAAATATTATATTTATGTAGTGTTAGGCATTTGATCCAATAAATGGTAATAGAGCTAAAACTATATTTTTGTTTCAACATCAGGGCTAAATTTTTTTTATTCAAGTCAAAATCAGGAATAGAAATAGGCCTTCGCCGTTGTGCATTGAGATTAACTAATTTGATAATATCTAAATCGTTTTCAAAACTGTATTTTCTCTTCAAAGTTCCTCGCCCCAGTGTGTATTCGGGGTAGTGGAGTAGTCATTTTCCAACACCGACTTGTTTATCGCTTGAGTAAAAGATGTACATGTTGTTACACCTAACGTAAGTATGATATGCAAAGGAAAATATACCTTCCTCTTCAAATGCTAAATCCACTTTCTTCCTATTGGTAACGTTATCATCACAAAACACTCCTCACAGACCCATATACACACAAACTCATAAATTCTCTCACTAATAGCAACACATGGAGCTCTTATGGGAGCTTGCCCTCACCATAGCTCTTTCTCTTCTACTTCCATTGGTTTTCCTTAAGCTCTTGTCCGTGACCCCAAACTTCGAAGCAAATGAGAAAGTAGCTGTTATTGGGCGTGATCGTGATCGTGATCGTGATCGTGGTGTCAAATCTGATTCCCAGGGATGGGAAACAGAGGAAGTTGTTCGAATTGTGGGGGAAATTGACGAATTTAGAGAGAAACCGATACTGGGAAAATTAATGGTCCCAGAAATCGTGGATGTGAGTTGTGGATCGCCCAAGATACGCAATTCAGGGAACACTGATGAGAACAGAGTTTACAATGAAATTAAACTCGTGGATTTCGTGGAGGATCCTGTTGTGAAAAATGAGAGTAATCAAGGTATTAATAAAATTAACGAATTAGAGGTAGAAAAAGTTGAAGAGATTGAGATCTCTCAGTGCGAAAGAAATTATAACGAGATTGATGAATTTAGTAGGAGCGAGGAAGTTGGTGAAAACAAGGCAATGGTGGTGGATGAAGATGATTGGGAGGGTATAGAAAGTAGCGAGTTGGAGCAGCGTTTTGGTGCTGCAGTGGTATTTGTCGGTTCTAAAAGCAACGCTAATCTAGTAGCGAATCTTTGTAATGATGTGAAGATGAAGCTTCATGGTTATCACAGAATTGCTACCCATGGTCCATGCCAGGAACCTCAGCCAATGGCACTGAACTTCTCTGCTCGAGCTAAGTGGTAGTTGATTAACCCTGCTTATTTATTCTATCCCAATATTTTAAAATTTTAGAACTTTTTTTTCCCTCTAGCTAATTTTTGTTCGAGTTGCTTAGAAATTCAGCTGTTTTATTAGATTCTTAGATGCATTTAACTTGATTATTTTGCGCAAGGATTGCAAGGCGACAACTTGGGATTATGAGTCCAGAGCTGGCCATGGAGCAGTATATCGCCCTTCTTTCAGAAAACATTCCCAATTGGATGGCAGATTACCCTTATGTAAGTATATGGTTTTACAATACTATTTTGTTCCCCTTTTCTATAAACAATAAGATATTGCGTATATTTGGTTCCTTCTTGGCCAGTTTTATCCATTTTCTCAATCGTCCTATGTATACTGGAAGGAAGCCCGTACTTTCCTTAGTTCCCTTAAGCCCCCCAAATTTGGTGGATAAATAATTTATTTATTAGATCTATCAGATAGAGCCTTTAGGCTTTATAATTATGCTAACTATCTACGGATCCGACCGTGGTTAAATTTTCGTGTTTCCCTTTATTACAGGATAACGCTAGGGCAGCTTCTGCAAATTAACTACATGATTTTAAGGCGTAGCTACTATAACAAAAAAAAGAGCTGAACATTATAAAGCGTAACCGTGTGCGCTCTGCATTTTGTTACCTGCACAATGATACCTTATTTGATATCACTACAGATCCCTGAGATTGAGTAATTGAAGGTGCAAATTTCACGCGTGAAATTATGATTATTGATTTGTAGTTGTAGACTTGTAGGCCACGTTATCAAGTAATTCTGTATCTTCCCCAGTTAAGGAATTAGTCGTATACGATAATGCAATATAATGTCTACTCCCATTAAATTTCCGCTGGCGTAGGGCAAGATTTTTGTGTCCTGTACGCATGTGTGAAGCTGCGTGGGAACGATTGTTTATAGAAGGAAATTATTTCACAAAATCTTTGACTTGCATAAACAAAGAACCGCGACTAAAATTCGGACGCAGTATGAATTATGTCTCGACCATAAAATCTATGTCATATTCACTACTTTCCACAATTTCATTTACATGAACAAATATTAAATGCGTCCCGCTAAAATTAACTTCAAGATCTTGTTGCAAGATTAAACTTGAGATGGCTTATTTACGGCTTGAATTTCATTCATTAGTTTATTTATAATTTACTTATTTTTATTTTATTTTTTTAATAATATATAAATTTGTATTCATAACGATGAATATTATAAATAAAATTAATAATATTAAAAATGTTTTTTTAAAAAGAGTATGATCATTCTTTAAAATATGAATTAAAAATTAGAGAATATATATATATATATAATAAAGTTATGATTTTTAAGTAAATATAGTAAATACAATTTGAATTTTTTATTAACATATATGTGATTTATTTTCAAGCTATTAATATTAAGTTTATAAAATTTAAATTTAACTCATTTAAATAATTAAACTTAAGTTTATATTTAAGCATATTTATTTAATTACAAAATAAGTTTGGAAATTTATTTAATAAGTTTAATTTGAAATTTAAAAAAAACTCAGATTATTTATACTTATAGAATTAAGAATTTGAGACTTTAGTATAAGAAATTATTCCAATGGTTCAGTAATTAAAATCTTAATTATTGAAATTAAATGAAACAATTTAATCATTTAACTTATCAAGTTTTTTTTTAATAAAAGTTTAAAAATTTACGGGGAAAAACTAAAAGATTTAATTAAAATAATTAAAAGTTAAAAATATTCAAGTCGAAATTATTAGCTTTTCAAAACCACTCTATAACATAGACACATAATGTAATTCAGCATTATAATTTTATCATTTATATTATTAGTATTTATAATAACAGGAAGAATGTCCTCTCCTCTTCTTACAACAATACAAAGGAAACATATTTCAGCGTAGGCGACGTCGTTTCACTCTTCGTTTTCACTTGTTAGTTCCATCCACCCTTAAAAGCCACCGGACTCCATAACAATAACCGAATCATCCGTCGTCGATTAAAACTATCTCTCCTCCCTCAGTCTCAGTATCTGCTTGTGTCTTCACGTGCTCTCATATATTGTCGCGAACAACGATCTAGGGTTGACCTTAGATTCGAACGGAACGTGAAGTTTCCTGCATTTTCTTTTTCTGTGTCTTCAAACCGAAATTATAAAAAGGCAATGGGAGTAGTCATTGAGAGTTCCGTTTGGGAACCGAATCCATCCATATACATCTTCCTCTTTATCTGTTGCTGCTTCTCGATCTTTATTTTCCCTCATGCCTCTAATCTCAACAGAACTTGCACAATCTTCGACCATGGAATCTCTTCTTCATTTCTTCGTTTCCAGCGGAACTTCCTCTTCATCTATTCTTTCGCATCAGGTTGGCTCTCACTACATTTTCTTATTCATTATAAGACTGTTCGATTTCCTAGAAAATGCGCGCGATCAGCCTTTGAAACTACGAAGTTTTTTAGTTTATGAAGGCAGAATTGAAACCTAAAGAAAGCAGAAAACGTCTCTGAGTAACTTTAGCTGAACATTCATTGCGATCTTAATTTTTGTCATGAAAATATATTTATATATTTATTTTTTTAATCTGTTCTGTTTTTTAAACTAAATTCCGAAACTCGTTTTTTGTTTGTAATGATTGGTTAAGTCAATTGAGCTTTAGATCGGTGAAGTGCAATCGTGAATGATGATTTCGTTTATTGTGACTTTCGTCTTCTCAGTAATGGAAGGTATGTGGTCAGCGTTCGGGGAGTATGAGTTAGCTTCCTATGGAATTGGGAGGGAAAATATGGTAACGTCTCTCTGTTATGGATATACAACAGCTCTCTTTGCGGCTCCTTTCGTTGGTGTGCTTTCAGATTTGATGTGAGCCTCTAGCTTAACTTGTTTAAAGCTTATTAAGTTTTAGTAATTCAACATTAAGTATAGAATAACCAGTCTATGCAATTTTGATGTTGAAGTGACACCATATTATGAAATTTGTCACAGTAGATATGTTTTGCTTATTTAATTATTTATGTTGCAATAATGTACATCATCCAAAGTATAGCATGAAATTCCTTCCACGTGGAAGAATTAATAATCCTCTGAGTGATTTATGATGTTTGCAACTTACTAAGTATTTTCTGTTGGTTAGTTGCTATTTTAGATAATATTAGGAGTGAATTTTTGTTTTTTTCAAATGTATCCTTCCAAGACCTTTGCATTTTCAAATGTTGAGGAAGAATATGATCAATCTTTGAACTTATATATTTTGAGTTGTCAATCCCATTTTCCAGTGTATTGCACTACTCTTCAATATTTATGTCGATTTGGTCATGATATCTTTCTACGTGTGATTTCAACTGTGAGGCAGGGTGTGCTATGTTAGATATGATTATATGAAGCATCTTGGGTATTTCAGAAGCATTACTGCTAAACTATGCATACTCAAGATCGAGACATATTTTTTTTTTTTTGTATTGAAGTTTCAGATGATTAGTCATTATATTAACCTAACTTACAATTTGTTATTGGTATAGAGGTCACAAGAAAGTTAGCTTAATCTTTTGCATCCTACACTTATTTGTTGGCGTGTGGAAGAAGATTGCAGAGCAACCAAACATGTTCATGACCAGCATATGTCTCTCTGTGGCCAATACAATATATTCAGTCAGTTTTGAGACTTGGATGATCACTCAACATGAAAAGGTAATTCAAAAGTCTTATCCTTTTATCTTGATTTCCACCTAGACCCAGATTTCAATCTGAATATCCTTATCTTGATTTCCACATAGCCACAGGAAAATGAAACTACAGGAGTTTATTTCTTCCCAGTTGAATAACTTGCCCAGATTTTCTTTTCTTTTCACCTTTATATGGAAAGTATGTGGCTGCCTAGGAAAGAGCACAAGGATGCGTAAAATATTTAGAATTTAATGTTAATTTGAAATTTTGTTTTTTGTTTGCAGCAAGGGCACAGGCTAGATTCACTTAATGATACATATTGGTTAATGACTTTCTTTGAGTCTGCATGTTTTATTGCCAGCCAAATTTTTGCAAATTGGCTGATTGGTAATAATAATATGGAAAAAAGCACTGCTCCTTCATCAGCAATTATCTTCTTTGCAACCATATGTTTTACTTTTATCTCCAGAGGATGGACAGAAACTCCAGGAGCAGCATCTCTTAAGGAGTATAGTCTGTCCTTCTATGCATATATTTTTGGTGGTAAGTTCACATGCTTTTCTTGTTTTTCTTTACTTTTTTTTTTTTTCTTCATTTTATGATCAACAATGCTATTAAGAATGCAGTACTTAACATTTGTTTGGCAATCAGATAACTTAGTAATAAGCTTAGACTTTCTGGAATTTCAAAGACAACTAGTCCCTTTTATTATATTTCTAATAGATAATAGTTGCTATCTTGTCCTCAGAATATGTGCACCCTTCTACTACCATGACTAACTCAGGATGAAACTACTTTTAAGAGTTCCTTTCTTTTTATTTTCCTCCTATATGCCTAGACTTTGCTTTTCTTGTTGATTTCCTTTACTTTTATAGCTGGCCCATTCCCTTTCTTTAATGGGCACTACATATGTAATATCCTTTTTGTGACATTTTTTGCATTACTTTTTTTCATAAATAAATGATCCAGCATTTATTCCTTTCTTGCAAGATAAACTACAAAAAGAATTTAATGAAAATACAGTAAGAGAGGAAATAATACACATGCAGAGGCTTAACTGTATTAAGTTTGGATCTCATGCTTTGAGAATTGACTTCTCTGGCAGCAGGAAAATATATAATGAAATTCGCAGTTGCTCATATCAAGTTGCTATTGATTATTTTTTAAAAATTTCTAAGTTTCTGATGATTAACAACTTGATCTACTTGTAATCTTTTTATACATCCCATGTCAATAGTTTGATCTACTTTTATTTTAGTTTCACTCTCATGACATGTTAGGCCAAAGCTATGCATGGTAAAGTCAAGCTCTAGGTTCAGTCTGTCATGATATTATATTTTCTTAGGTTAGATGTCGTTAGGAGTTGGTAGGAGAGAAATGCATTATTCAATTTTACATCAATGTAATGAAAATTTTAAGTAACATTCTGATTATGTACTGATTGTAATTTTATAATCCCCAGATAAAAGGGTATGGCTGTTGGCATGGGCACAAACTTGCCTTCACTTCTCCATTGGAATTTTTTGGATCCTTTGGGCACCTACAGTAGTGGTATGACGTCAAAATTTAGAGCACAGCTTATTATATGCTGAGACATCAATGTATATGAAGAATATTTAAAACATTATGACCATATTGCATTAAATAGATGTGTTATTGGTTTCCTCTTCTTCTTCAGGCTTCTCTGTATTGGTGAATCTAGAAATGGACTTAATTGAACAAATTTAGAAAGAATTTTGTTTCGGTCCATGGGAAAATGTCTCTCTCCATGGACGAGTCAGTATGAAAGAGGCTTTTAAGTTATGAATCTGTTATATTATCAGTCTAAGTCTCATATATATTCATAACGCATGTCATTTTAGGCTGATGGGCGAGAAGTGCAACTGGGATTAATATATCCATGCTTTCTGGGCTCAAGGATGCTAGGGAGCACTGCATTTCCATGTCTTACTAGTGGGCCATCATCATTTAGGACTGAGGACTGCCTAGTATTTGCATACACCATACTGGCTCTTCTCCTGTCTATTGTGGCCTATGACTATCAGGTGCAGTTATTTTTATATTTAGACAGACTCAAATATACTTTTGGTTAGATATTTGTGCTGGAAGTCTTGAGTCTGCTCTCATTACTTATCATGTGCAGGAAATTGGGGTTCTGGTGACACTATTTTGCTTGTTCCACGCTTGCGTTGGTTTCATTTTACCATCACTTGCCAGATTGAGGACCATGTAATCTTGTTAACAAGAGTTGTACTTATTCATTTGCTCAATCTTGGATTTAATAGTTTTATTTACTTTGCTTGCAGGTATGTTCCTAATGAATTGCGTGGAGGGATGGTGGGCCTCTCTCTTGCCCCTGCAAATGCCATAATTCTGCTTTCTTTGGTGCAAGTATGTATTTGTGCATGTATCTAAAGTTGTGGGAAGCATTGTTAACATGAACCATTTGATGAAAGATAATTTTTGTTGTGTGAAGTTATCTAAAATCGTGGGAAGAAAAGAATATAATTAGCAAAATAAAGCATTATTAACATGAGTTAACATGAACCATGTGATGAAAGAATTTTTTTTTTGTGTGAAGTTTTGAAGTTACAATACTGTAATCATGGAGGGTGGCATAAAAAATTGCTATTCAAGAGTGTCTGTGTTCTTGTTAGTGCTTTAAATTCCTCCACGGTTGTACTAAAGTAGTAGATACAAATCCTTGTTTTCATTCTGTTTGTGCTTGTCAACTTGCTTAAAAGCTGCCACTGCATTGAAAATAGACACAACTTTTTGAATATGGATTTACCTTCTTGACTGCCATAAGTAGTCCTTGTAGTTGATTGTCAAGGTAGGGTGACATTGCTTGCTCATACAACTCATGGAGACGGGTTAAATTAATGGAATACAATATTTTGGATGTAATATACCTTTTGAGGGAGTGGCTATGTATGGTACCCTGCGAGGTATTATAACTGAGGTGAGTTGTCTAGCATGTAGTGGTTGTCCGTTTAGTTATTTAAGCTTGAAACTATTAAATGTAATCAGCAAACAAATGTTTGATAGTGCATCTTTGGTATTGGTACCCTTTAAAAAATGATAGGTACTGATGTAATTTGCTACATTTAAATGTTTCTTTGCAATATTCTCAATGCATCGACTTCCGTCTAAAATGATTTTGATGAAAGACAAATTGTGTGTTTCTTGCGTTCAACTGGTTCATGTGTATTTGCTGTTGTATATATCTTGACTCCCTCTATTGTTGCAGGGTGGCTATTATCGGAATGTTGACAATGCAGCATTAATGGCATTTGGTGTGATTGGTTTATTGCTAGGAGCTGGTTGCATGCATGCCCTGAAGCAATGGGGGAAGCAACCATATAACAACTGGCATAAACAGTGAATGCATAATCCCTTTTTGCAGGCTTTGTTAGTGGTGGATGTTTGTCTCTTTTATTGAATGCAACAAGGAGTAAAGAGATGAAGAACTTAGATGATGTCAATGCAGGCAAGGGGAAATAAATTTCAAAAAAATATGAACATCAACTACTAGTGGGCGCTGAGCTGGACTGACATTGGGGTTTTTATGTAAGGACAAAGAGACTGAATAAGGAAACTTAAAAGTTCAATTCTTTCTTTAAATTATTAGTCGGCGAGACCAAATTCTCTTATCATTTGAGTGTGTCAGTCATTTTAAGTACGCAGGACTAACAGGTTTCTAATTCTCCTTATATTATTGTAGCTTGGAAGATATATTCGACCGTACAAGCTTTGTTAGCTGCTATCAGAATCTGTATGGGGTGACATATGCCAGTTTCTCCCGAAAAAAAGCACCGAAAGATCATGAGGTGAAAATTGATTCTTATCATTTTGCTTTTGTTAAGCGTATCATGTTTAGTCATGTGTTACGGGCTGGGATGGATAGTTCATACCAATTTTATTAGCATAAACCATAACATATGACCAACCTCGAACATGCTAAGAAGGTTTTTACGAAGCCCCGACGAAATAATCGAAGCTCTGGTAATGTTATTTTTATCAATTTGATCGAGACACAATTCAGTTAGTAATAAGTTAGTTTACTTATTCTTATGCAACATAGGGCCTCTCTTTTTCTTTTTTTAGGGATTTTTTTAAATTAAAATGTATGCCTGAAAAAATTTCAGATAATTGTTTTTTTGGGAAAAAGAAGCTAAAACTATGTAAAATAAAGCTGCTTTTGTGTTTTTTTTTTTTTTTTTTGGTGCACAAGAAATAAAATAAGAAAGACTAACTACTAGTTAACTTATCAACTAGGAACAAACGGTGCTCCTCAGAAGGACAGGACCTTCTGACCTGCATAACCTGGAGTTTTGACAGTGCAAGGGCAGTAAGCCTGTCCACAATAGTATTGGATTCCTTGTTAGTATGACAAAGAAGCACATGGTTGAACATAGGTAAAAGATTGTGAATGCACCTCTTAATTCTCTCTTCTAACGTGCCGGTTTGATTGTAATTCCCCATAACTGATCATATTTTGGCAGTATGATTCAAGGATAACACATTGATATCCCTCCTCATGAGCTAGTTGGATTCCTCTCTAAATGGCATATAACTCTGCTAAGTGTGGCTCTTCATGCCCCTCTCAAGACGAAAAACTAACTAACTAATCTTCTTGCTTATCTCAAATATGTGGGCTCCCATTTGATCATATGAAACAAGACGAAACGCCCATGCATATTATTAAAGTCTAGGTGAGACCAACTATCTTTGGCATTATGAATGCGATCAAGTACGTGTTGGATACTCTAAATTTCATTCTCAAAGACAAGATTATTGTGCCACAACCACAAATTCCACATAATAGCACAATAGTGGATAGCATCTCTTCTTTGAATAAGAGCGTGATCCAACCAATAAAGTTAGCTTGAAAGAATAGAATAAAGTTCAAAATCCCAATCCTTAACCAAACTTTCATTGTCAATGGACAATTTTTAAGACAATGATTGATGTCACTAAGCCCTCTAATCCAACGTAGATAATTAGTTGGAAGAGCTTTCCAATGAACTAACCATAAGAAGTACTTCACCTTTTTCTCAATTGACAACTTCCAAAGAGCTTTCCATTCGTTGCTATTAAGCTCGGTATCCTGCTTGCTAAAGAGCTTTCCATTCATTGCTATTAAGCTCGGCACCCTGCTGCCATCTCAACCACGTATAGCCCCCACAAGCTATATAAGCTTTGTTTGTGCTACTCGTCCAGGTCCACGTATCTTCACCTCCTATAGGTCTTAACAAATTCGATATAATGCGGCCCACTTGATCAGGTATTAGTGTAGCCATTCTTATGAAGTCTCAATTGGCTCCATCCCACAAAATTTTCACTATCATCATATTGTCCGAAATGTGGACAAAATTTATCTTATTGGCCAATGCTCCAACTTTCGTCCAATCTTGAAACCAATATGACCATCCCTTAAAGCTGCTTTTGTGTTTCATTATTCACAAGGAAGAATGAGTAGTCAAAAATTAAAAATTAAAAACCTTTAAAAGGTTTTAAATTTATCGCATCATAATCACAAAGACTTGCTATCTAACTGGAATTTAAGCTGAACAAATTATTTACCTCATGAAGAGAATTGCATTCTTTCAATACACTTTACTATCAGATAAAATTCATGCAACGTGGAACCTTTTAAAGGATAGGCGTCTTTCTTATTCAATAAATCTCATTTATCATTTAGTGGAACAATGTTAGAGTCAGTATTGTGAGCATTTTTCTATAGATGAAATCAATGTACAGCATTGAAAACCCATTTTTATTTTGAAATGCAAAGATGGGTTTTAGAGATTAAGATGGTGTTAAAACATTTAGTCGAAATTATTTTTGCCAATTGACTTATGGATGACGGCACTCGTTAAAATGTTTATTGATTGTGATTGAATGGCATACTTTCTTAACGTGCAATATGCAATCTTGCTTTAAAATTTCTGCAACTCATCAAAGTTTAGCCCGGATTATTCACCTGACGATGTACATCTACTGTACCACAAAATTCTTAATGACCACTAAAATGGCATAAATACTATTGTCGTTGTAAGAATTTGAAAATAAATTGCTGGTAACATTTATCTAATCGTTCTGTACTTGATCCCTTATCCACTTTGTAGCCACCCACTTCTCCCCTTTTAGCACGGGGCAGCTTCCGTGGAGCGATGTCTAACAAAGAATACACAGGAAGAATCACATAATGGGCACATCGAGTTCAGAAGTATATCTTGAAAATTTAGCACAATAATCATCAAAATTAATGCCGGCGTAAAATTTATCAAGATAATCAGATAAATTAAATTCACATTTGACATAGAGTAATTAACGTGAAAATATAAGATTACAACCTTTGTTAAGTGGTCCATTCGTGGACCGGTATTCTCTCGTTATAGGGTTTGGTCTTGAGGCCCATTCTATATTCTACAATTTATAATCTACAGGGAGTATTTGAAAAAGTTTGTGAGAAGCTTATAAATTAACTTATGATTTTCAAGATTTTTTAAAACTTATTTTAATAATTATTTAAAGATAATTTCTACAATGACTTATAAATCAAGAAAATATTTTATATATAGTTAGTAGTTTATTTTAAAAAAGATATAAATATTTCTAATTTTTTAAGATATTAACAGATTCTTAACCATTAAAATAAAGAGAATATACAATGTCATTTTAAGTTTGCAAGTATCATAACAAACACTTATGTAAAACTTATACCCTAAACTTTCATAAGAATATTAAATAAGTACTTAATTAAATTTATTCAAATATATCTTAACGTAATTTATACTTATTCAACCATGTATGTTGAGAAAAATAAATGAGTCAAGATCTGTTAATACTAGAGATTAAATTTAAACACTTATACTACTTAATAACTTTATGTAAAATGCAAAAAAGTTTTTATCAAGTTTATTAACTTTGTAAAATCTTATACAAAATAAAATTAATAAGTACTTGATTAAATTACTTTATTTTGACAAATAATATTTTTTTAAAATATAAAACTTTAAATAACATACTTTTAAATGTCTAAATTATATAAAATTAAACATCATAACAATGATATAACATTTAAAGAAAATATATTGATTAATTTTACATTTTATTAAAAAAATTATTAAATAATGTTAGTATTTAAATTCAACTCTCTCTATATATAGAGAAAAAGAGAGTAAATTACACCAAACATCTTTTAATAGTTTAAAATCTTACATAAATAATTTACATGATTAAAAATTTTAATCTAATGATTAATTTTAAAATTAAATTGTTCAATAAAAAGTTACAAACGATATAATTTGATTATTCCCTTGTCTTCCTTTATACTCATGTGTTCGCCCGTTTGTTAATCAATCCAGTACAAAAGTTATTTATAAAACATCCATGACTTAAAACACTTTGGTAAAAAAAAAATCTAGTTGTGGTAAATTTAGTGCATGCCTGGAAAGGATTTTTTTTAAAAAAATCATTAATTTTTAAAAGTTTTCTTAAAAAACAAAAACAAAAACGTGTTGTTAATGGATGTTTGAAAAACTGATAGATGATAAGAAAAAAATACTAACCGGATCAATTGTACCATTAGGGAATAATGAATAAAATAGAAGTCCATCCCCCTTGCGTGGCCTTACTCTCAAACCAATACAGTCCTCGTAACCATAGCTACCGTCCATGTTCAAGCCATTCTGCGGAGTAATAAATTATTAATGCGCTAATTACCTAAATAGATTAGAAAATGGGAACTGCGTGAATCAAGATGTATTGTCAAACTTGGTTTACCTCAAACGGAAACATGGTCTTCCCACCTTCCGGAACATCAGTTAAATACAGCAAAAAGGAAGCCAACTGCATGGTTAATTAAAACTGAGTCAAGAATCAAACTCATCAAACTTAAACAACTTAGCGAGTTCAAGATCTAAAAATGTAAAGAAAAAAAGCGACTAGAAATACTAAAATATGGCATGGAGTTAATTAGGGATGCAGTGAAGGACATATTTTATCTAAGCATAAGCATAATGTTGATTAAAAACTCCCACTTCGACTACATAATGAAAGAAAACAAAAATAAATCCAATAAGCATCCAGGCTGTTGTTGACGGTGCTAGAGCACAAAAACTATTTGCTTTACCACTATCCACCAATTCCATGATCAGAACAACTAGCAACCGAGAATGTGCGAGTTTTACTTTATACGTACCCTTTGACTCTTTTGTGGGCCATATTCAGTAGGATTGAATGCATCATAATGAGAATTGTATCTCTGTCCAACCTCATAGCGGAGGATATTAAATGCCTGAAACATGATTATTACTCAGATGATTTTTTAAAAAAATCCAGAAAAATAAGAGATTTACAAATTCAACAAGATCGAGGCACCAGAATTGCAGAGAATATAAAGCTCAGCAAGGGAAGCTAATATAATTCATAGTCTTAGCGTACAATAGCATTGATTTTAAGGGTGTCTATATTCATTTTCACCTTTCTTCGTTGTAGTTAAAAATTAATTATGGTTAGTAAAAGGGGAAGGCAAGTGCTCTAAACAAAATTTTTATCCTAGATGGAAGATTTGATTTCACTTATCAGAATCAAAATCGAAGATTAAATTAGCAAAAAACATAGTAGGCGACATTATTTTCTCAGCATCGGCGGCCGTATTATTTTTATCTCAATACCAATGTCAACTGGTGGTTTGGGCCCTGAAAATATGGAAGACAACGTAGAAAATAGTCCAAGCTCATGAGAAACATGAGGACTATTACTCTGTTAGAGAAGGAAGGAAGGCACCATCTCATATCATGTTAGTGGCAGCATGATAAAGAAAAGAATACACAAGTGAAAGTTAACTTGAATGCAGTTGAAAGTAGGTCCAAAAGAACAATTGTTAAGACCATTCACTATAGGGATTGAAGATTTTCATTCAGAATAGGAATTACATTTTTATTAGTTTGTTTTGCCACATCTGTTATTTGCATTTTTTGTTTTTGCAGATTTCTCTTGCTGTATTGAGCCTAGGCAAGCAAAGTAATAAATGAGAGGAGAGAAAAGAGAAATTTCAGTTTATTTGTTTTGTTTGGAGGAACCTTGACCTCGAATTCAAGGAATTTTAGTGTGTTCATATCACAGCACAAGTGCGTAAATTGAACCATGGAAGATTCCTTTGTACAATGTAAGAAATCAAACATCACAGCCATTAAATATCAGACAATAAAATTTCTTGCCAATCATGAGGAACAAATTCACTGTTCAAAATGATTTTCTGATTTCAATTAGCCCATCCTCACCAATGTGTTTATTTTCATGCACCATTTCCATTAACAGACAGGTCTTCCTTGCACGGGAATCTATGATATTAAAGTGACCTCTTAGTATTGAAAAGACAGATAAAAATATTATCATTGGGGAAAATCTGAATCACATAATAAGTTCCCTGTTAAATAGATGTGTTCTGCATCAAACAACAAAAACTGACTAAGATTTAACATCTAATCCTATCCCTTCATAAAGTAAGACAACTTCTTCGGTTCTTCCATTTGCCACTTATGGTAAAAGCCCTTTCCTTTTTCCTAAGTGCAATGCATAAGTAATGAACATAATGCTAGTTTCACTAGAAAGGAAAAAACTGTGAAGAAACTGTAAACAATTTTTACTCTCTATTGCAGATACAAATTCGAATAATCAACTAACTAAAGCAAAAACAAAAAAGAAATGTTTTTAGCAAATCAAATTGACAAGCTCTTCCAAAATACCCATTCTATAGAAAGAGCAAGATAGTTTAGTAGAGATATTACCTCTCCATGAGTACTCGGAATTTTTGTTGCTTTGGCAATTTTCTCCTCAATGGCATCTAAAACTCCTGTTTTATCCTCAGAAGCACTTATGAACACACCAGAGCTGTTCAAAAAAGGTGTAAATATAAGCTTGCAATATGACTTTGTGTGACAGAATGTGCACCTTCAGATTTTATGAGAAGGTCCTCATAACCATAATTAGTTAATCACTAATACTCCCATGGACCAGAACATTTATCTTGGGTTGTATATGCACCATACAAAGGTGTAGAAAATAGCATCATATCATCAAAACCACAGGAATTGAAACTCCTATGGATTACTTGAGGACAAATTTTTTTTTTTCAGGAAATTTAGTTAAAAGAATTTTCCAAAGCCTGTCATCTAAGAACATGTCTGCATGATGCTTTCAATTCTGTCATCAAGCAGCTATGGCAACTTCAATTCTAGAAGAAAAGAGGTCACAAATCAGGAAGTCAAACAAGATGTGTAAATGTCTTGGTCAAAAAGTTCACTGTTTAGGTTAGAATCAAGGAATAGAAGAGAAAACATAAAGGAATCAAATAGACTGCATCTTAATTTCTCAGTTGCTGAAAATCTTTGTCTGGTTCACCATAAGCCCAATCAGAACCCACCATGCATTTATTAGTTTGTTATCTTATTCATTCCAACAATAAATTATTTCTTCTGACATTTGATTTAAGCATGTAAGTCTTAATGACCTTTTCTCCCAGTTTGTGTTAAAATAACAGTCAACATTCTACTTTGTGCAGTTTATAACAACGCCAGACAGTTAATTATTGCACAGACTCATATTAACGTATACGCTACCTTGTTCTGATTCCCTTCGTATTCTCTTCCGTTTCTCCCTTGCGTAACGCCAAAGTTGATGGTTTGAGTCCTCTCTTTGCCATATCAACTATGCGTTCACATTGTTCCGTGCTTGCAAAATTAGGAAAATACAGAGCGCGAGGGTACCAGCTCAAAACCTAAAGGACACAAATCAAAGATACATTTAACCAAGAGTCAAAACTCAAGTCAATCTTCCAATAGTACCGCATGCTTAACATCGATAATTGTTCATATTCAAGTAACAATGACATAAAAAATTAGAGATTAGTAATAAACTATATGAAATCCTTCTTATTAACATATATGAAATCAAAACACCAACGCAAGTTCCGTGAAATAAACTAATTCGTAAATATTGCAATATTTCAAACAGGAAAGGAATCGTAAAAAGTCACGATCATCTGTACAGATGAAAAGCTGATTTTAACTAACCGAGCAGAACATTTCAGCGAAAATTTGCGAAAGCTTGAAGAAACGAAATCGTGCACCTGGAAAGGAATCAATGTAATAAAATCGTCACCGGAATCTCCAGTTTGCAACAAATCGTACTCTGTCTGCTCCTTCGTCGATTTTTCAAGTAATCTCGCTCTCGGTCTCGCCATCAGCCTCAGGTCATATTCATGTTCCTGCAAATTCTCACCGATCCGTTACTTAGAATATTTTCCAGTGAAAGAAAACAAAAATCAACGAAAAACAAGTTGAAAATACGGAAGAACATGATTAGGATTATTGAGAAGGAAAACCTGAGAGTGAGAGAAGAGAGTGGAAACAAAGAATCCAGCGAGAAAGAAGAAGATGCAAAAAAGGAAGACAGAAGGTAAGCCGAACTTGTTCGTCCTCAAACTCCAATTTCCCTTAACCGCTTTGGTTTTCATTTAGATTGTGCAGAATGTTTTTTTTTTTTTTTTTCTGTTTTTCGTTCTTCAAGTTTCGGATCAACTGCTAAGTGCCAAGCAACTCTGAATTTAAAGAAGTTGACTAATGCGTCTCTCGTAGTGGATTAGCCTTTTTCTAACGGATTTCCAGCTCGTTCATCTTGTCTGTGTGCGCCCGCTTATTCGAACTTGCGATGCAAATCCAATACTTATTAAGAGTTATAGTTTTATATATTAGATATATAAGATACCGCAATTAATGTATAGCCAGACATATGTACGAAATATGTAAAAAGAAAAAATAAAAATAAAAATCATTATTAGCATTCACAATGTACTGTAAAATCGAATATTCATCTTTAAAGATATAATTATTTTTATAAATTTTTTCATTAATTTATGTTATCTATTTATTTTACATTCATATATATATATACACATACATATATATATATATATATATATATATATATAATGAAATTTATATTAATAATTTTCATTTTAATTAAAGGAATTTGTATTTTTATTAATATTCAAATTTCTTCTATTAAGGTTAAATATAATGAAATATTTATAACTATTATTAAAATAATATTATATTAACCAGAATATTTTTTAAATTTTTTAAATTATAAATTTTAATGTTATTTTTCTCACTAATAAAATAAATTTTAATTTTTGAAATTTATATTTTTCATATTTTATGATAAAAGTATTACCCATTGTGTATATGTAAATATGTGATGCAAAAAATTCAAATACAGCATGTCAAATATGTTAAATTATTTAAGTAACAAATATAAAATACTTTTATTTTTTATACGAGAAATATTTTTTCTAATTTAAATTCTTATAATATATCCATAGACACATGATAGAGTTTGTTTTTAAAAAATTCGTATGATGCATGAAATAAATAGAATAATAAATGTTTTTTGTTGTTTATAGAAATACATGATTAGATTAAATGTTCATAAATTAGAGAGATAAAAATATAAAATTAAATATAAAAATTAGGACATAAAATTTTTATTGATATAGTATATTAACCTTTTAGAAAAAATTTCAGATTTATTAAAATTATAATAAATTTAAAAAAAAAATTTACTTAAAAATATTATTATTTCATTTTAATATAATGCACCATAATAAATATTTTTAAAAAAATATGTGACTTAATGAAAATAAAAATATTCTCATTTGAGAATGAAGATTATAATTTATTCTTTCGATTCTTTTTATAAATAATAAATATTAAATTTATTAATATAAATAAAAAATAATTATATATTATTAATTTTGTAGTATATTTTTAAAATATCAATAATAACAAATGGTCAATTTAGTAATTCATACATTAAATGAATATATATATATATATATATATATATATATATGTGGTAATGAATGTATATCAATATAACACAATAAAATAATTGTATATAAAATAATTTAACAATTAATGTATTTGAAAATGAATATTTATTTTTTATATTTAAAAAAGTGATAATGATTTCTTATAAATATAACCAGAAAAAAAAAATCTAATACAAAGATGAGTAACTATAACTGATATACATAGTAATAATTTTAAATCATCCTACACCTTTAAAAACTTTCAATATACTAAATAAAGAAACCATTGAATTTTTTTCATATTTTTTTAGATTTTATATATATATATATTACTTTCCTTGTAAAGTAGAAAAAAATTAAGTAGAGTGAGAAATAAAATACAAATAAAAAAATATTTCAATGAGTAAAAATATAACAAATAATAAACTATTTACTTTTTCAAATCAGTAAAAAAAAACAAGTAAATTGTGCTAAAAATATTTATAACAATCATAAAAGAATTTGCTGTAACATTTTTTAATAGGAAATTGTGTGTGTATATATATATATATATATATATATCGTTTGAATGGATAAAAATAAACTTTTAAATAAATTCTTATCACTTAGATAAATAACAAATATCCATATAATTTACTCATGTTAAGGTTAAATAATCACTTTCGGAAGTTCAAGGCCATCCCATGTGGGCACTGTTTAGCTAGCTTATCCCGTGGTTGCCTGGTTGGCTACTAGCCTTGGTGACAAATATGGCCAGGTTCATTCGTGAAGTAATATAAAAAACAATCTAAATAAAATAAAACAAATGTAAATGGACAGCACGGAACTCCTCCTTTACTTCGCCAACTGATCATGCTCGTTCCCACTGCGTGCAGGCAACAGAAATAGATTCCAATATGCGTGCAAGGGAACAGCTGCCACGTTGCTCCATCAGCAGCTCTCAGACCACAAAAATATAAAAGCACAAAGTGCATTTGGTTCGGATAATCTGCGTCCTGTTGGCATTAAGTGCATGAGATAGACGGTGCATAAGAAGCCCACGTGGACAGAAAGCTTGTCCACAAACATTATTTGCTTCTTGTCCTCCTCCACGTAAATAATATATGGTCCCTGAAACGAAGACACAAAAACCATTGTTTGCAATTTAATCAGCTAGCAAAATATCATATCCTTCTTCCTTCCAAGTCAAAAATTGAACCGGAATTTAAAACCATAGGCAACTTTTCTGTGTTGGTGATAGTTTAAATTCAACAATTAAATGATTAGATTAAATGTCTATTGCTCACCAATTCCCACTGCAAGTGCACGACAAGCCAGACCAAGCAGCAACTATGGCTCACTGATCGTCCGTAATTTCAAAGCCTCAAATTTTTCTCATCGGATTTCCATCAAAGTTAAGGCTATAAAAGACGAGATGAACGGAGAAACAAGCGGATCTTCAGGACGTAGCTGGGATCCTGGGTTGGAAATTGAGGTCCCTTTTGAGCAGAGGCCGGTACGTGTAAAAACAACTTAGCAACTGTGGTAATAACTGTTTTCCTTGGATGATTTTCGAAATCAACATGATGTTGCATGATGTAATATTAGTGTATGAATTTCTGGGATGAACCCAGCCATCAGAAATTGCGGTGCCAGCTAGTGAATTTCGTATCCCTGCACCCACATATATAAACTGGAACAAGGGGGATTAAAATTGATAATTAGTTGTTCTTATCAGGATTGTTCCACTACAACAACCTGTTTCACTTCTCACTTTTCATTTTAGCTAATCCCAACTCTCTCACGGTGTAATAGGTAAATGAGTATTCATCTTTGAAGAATGGAATGTTGTATTCATGGGGTGAACTGGGTCCGGGGTCGTTCTTCCTTCGCCTTGGAGGTCTCTGGTTGGCAGTGTTTACGGTTCTTGGAGCTCCAATTGCAGCTGCAAGCTTTAATCCTTCTAGAGTAAGGAAGAATTTAAAAGTATATTTACATGATTATTGGGTCATCTAATCAAGTAATCAACTAGAAATTTTGATGCACACAGAAGAATACGTCCAAGCTACACACAAACAAAACATTTATAAAGTGGCTAATAAAATTTAAAAAATCCTTCGGCCTGCGTTAATGTTCACAGCATTGCAGGAGCCTCTAAGATTTATACTAGCTGCTGGAACAGGAACACTCTTCATTGTGTCTTTGATTGTCTTGAGGATTTATCTGGTGCGTTCTAATGATCTTTTTTGTTCTTCGTGACACAGTTATTGACTTATTTCATTACTGGGGACGGGGGAAGATGGGGTAAGGCAGAGAATGCAAGACAAATTTGTCCTGGTGTAGCATATCTTGAATTAAAAAAATAAAAACCGTATTGCATTTGTCGAACAAGGATTAGGAGTTCAGTCCAAACTCCCTTTCGTAGTCATGCATACTGTTTATATTGTTGCCAAAGTGCACAGAGTTTTTCAATTGCATGTTATCTGTTTGTCGTTCACATGAACTATGCGTCTGTCCAATGATCAAGAGGCTGAACTGTGGCTGCACCTTCACACATAAATAACTGTTGCAGATAAGGTAATTGAATTATACTGCAGGGTTGGAGTTATGTTGGTGATAGACTTCTATCAGCGGTCATTCCTTATGAAGAAAGTGGATGGTATGACGGACAGATGTGGGTCAAGCCGCCCGAGGTTAGCCTCTTACACATTCTTCCTTACATAGAGAACAGAACAAAGTACCCCTGAAGACATCACGTGTAAAATCATATTGAAGGCGGTATATTATGTGGGCCATAAGATATATATAACTGATAAGTTTATGATTCCATCAACAGCGGGATATTTTGACAGTAAAATATGCCGCCCTTGATAAATGGAAAAGTAGCCAATTTGACGTTGCTTGCAATTTGCCTCTGTTTACTTGGATAATATCCACTACTGGCCTTTTTAGCGAAAGACAGGGTCATGGTAAAGGCTAAATTGAGAGGCAAAAGATTAGTCAGCCTAAAGGAGAACAGATAATAGGTTAGCAACTGTTATTGCCTTTCAAATTATAAAGGATACTTACTGATTAAGCAACAAGCAGTCTGTTCAGAATTAGTGAAACTGAAAGAAATGGAATCAAGTGTAGTTGAAATGTGCTAACGAATGTTACTTCTACTAAAAGAACCAATGACATGATTCATTTCTCTCACTTCAGGCAATATAAACTGAAAACTTAGTTTCTTTGCAGATCCTAGCTCGTGATAGGTTGTTGGGCTCTTACAAGGTACCGGACATTGCAAAGTATCACAGCATTGCATGAATTCACTATGAAGAAAGATTTTGGATACAAGCAATACGTTAAATTTTCTTTGCAGCACCATTCATGTATATTCCATGTCTGCAGGTTAAACCAGTAGTTAAACTGCTGAAGCAAACTCTAGTTGGAACAGGAGCATTACTTGTTACAGGGGTTATGCTATTTATCTTTGCTACACCAGTGGAGAATTTTCTTCGAACCACCTTTACCACAGAAGAAAGTAAGTCAATTGTTCAAGCTCCCAAGGTTAACACAAAGTTCAACCTAAGGTAAGAATAGACAAAAAAATTATTGACTATCTTCCAGAGTTTTTCCACCAAGTCATTGCAATTTTATAATGCATGTTGCAGAAAGGAGGAGTTGCTTAAATTGCCTGTGGAGGTGATAACTGATGATGATTTAGCAGCAGCTGCTGCTGAGGCTGCTGATGGAAGACCTGTATACTGTAGGGATAGGTTTTATCGAGCATTAGCTGGAGGGCAGTACTGCAAATGGGAAGATCTGCTCAAATGAAGGATGAAAAAGAGGCATGAGTAAATCAATTTCATTTTCTAAATGTAGTTTGTGATTTGTGGTGACTGTATGACTGACCCAAGGCCATATTCCGTTAGTTAAGAAAACTGTTTAACTCATTCAAAGCAAAAGCAAAGCCTGAAATAGACGGTGAAGAAACAAAAAGAAAAGATCAAATCTGACAATGACTTGACAGTATGAAACTACATGTCATATTACTATTTGCATATAAATGCAGAAGGAAGAGTAACATGTTTAAGAGGGGGGAAATGTGAATAAGAAAAACAGGATTAAATATATTGATATATACTATACACAAGTGGACACATGTAAGACTCACATGCCCATGGGGAAAGTCTATGCAAGCAGAAGTTGTATGTGATGTTCCATTAGTTATGATGATCAAGTAAATTACAGGAAGTCTTTAGCTCCATGATCTTTCCAGTAAGGGGACAAAACTCCTTGTGCAGTGAAACAACTAGCTTCCATAATACTGACCAAAATAAAGAATATTGTTTCAATGACAGATAGGCAACTGCAGAGGTATGTTCCACACACAGAAATCGATAGATGTATATCCGTAAACATTCTGGTTGCACGACAACTTTGATACAAGTAGCACAACAGAATATTTTTGACAAATCAATACAGAGGCAAATCAGCTCAGGCATGATCGTGGTTCCTTAAGTGACGTGAATTCAGTATTTGGCCTATAATCCATCACCGGGCAGATCAAAAGTTGAATTTGCTCTCGCCAAGTAAATAAAACAGCTTCTAATGAGTTTTCCTTTCAGTACTTACAGGTCATTCCTCCCAAAAGTCATTTTGCAATGTAAATGGACAGGGAAAATCTTCTAAAATTACTAAATAGAAATTAGTAAAGAATCTGTTGGTCTGTCCAAATTGTTCTACCAATGATACAAAAATTCGGTGACAGCGTCATAAGCCCAACGGATATACTTATTGAACAAGTTTCCTGCACCAGTGCAGAATTCGAAACATTTGTGCTCCAACAACATTCCTAAATGATTTCTTTCTTGCTTTGGCATATTCAAGATCAAGTGTCCGATATGCAAGAGCAAACAGATACATTGCTGGATGAAGTCTTCTGCAGATTGCAGAACTGAGACTGTCAGTATACTCCACAAAGTAATTACTTGGGTTGGATCTTTGGGAGATAATTTCTAAAATATCAATTAACTTTAACTGCTTTTAAATGTCCAAGATGAAACAAACTTCAGCTCAAAATGAGATTTTTGTTTCTTACTGACAGAAAAAATTAGCCAGAACGTTTCAGAACTCTGTAAACAGAGCTAAGATCAAGTTGTTATGTAGCAGGTTTATAATTCTGAACTACTTATCTTTTATATAAATTATTCCACACAATTTTACAATTAAGAGCCAATCAGATAACTCTTGTTAAAAAACACATTATATGTGGCTGGGTCCTGTTTGCGGTTTACCAAGCCGATACGACTGTCAAACAGAGTTCAATAATTTCAACAAAAGATCAAACAAAATACTGATGAAGTACAAATTCCAAAATACCGATTTTAACTTTTGATTTCTGTGAAAAATACATAGTTTCACCCAAGATCCACAGTATTAGTTATACACCAGTCTATAATAACCATTTTATACCATACTTTTTTGAAAGAAAAAATTATGTTGCTAACATTAAATAGTTTTTCACAAAGTTAAAAGAAGACAAGAAATAACAACTAACATAAGTACTTACTTGTCAGCTTGCTCCCTATAATCCATGCCATCCCAGAACCTATGTGATGGCATTGTACGACCATTCTTATTTTTGCCATATGTTTCAACATACCAACCCCCAATGTCATGGAAGCCACAACGAGGCTCAAATAGCCAAAATCTGTATAATTAAAGAATTAAAATGTAAGTATTACAAACAGCAATGAGGGAGCAACAGATGATCTTAATAAATAACAAGTTGTGGTACCATAATAAATTCACATAAATTTGAGAATACAGCAATAAGTCCATTTTTCAGTTAGAAGCACTACAGTTAATCAAGAGTTCTGAGCAATAAATCCTCAAAAAACAATATTATTCCATCATTCTGATTCTTACCCGTGAAGGTGTAGCAACACCATCTTCCAGATAACTGAAAGTTTAACATAAGTAAATTAACCCAATGACCACATTCTTTTAACCTTTAATAGAACCACTGACTAGCCAATAACATCAACACCGAAAGAAGGGATGAGCAAACATAGAAAGAGAAGATTGGTATGTACAATATGACCACAACAAGTTCTAACAAAGGAAGAGATTAACACAGAATTTGTTTGCTTACTTACTAGGAAACGATACAACATTCACCAAAAAAGTTAAAAAAAAATACACTAGTAAGTTATATAACGATAACAGAGAAGGCAGCAGCAGGACATATGCATTAATGACCCCAAAGAGATTGTTGTGCTAACTCAAACATTAATACTATTATAGAGAGATGTCAGAGATTTACTTGCTTGGGGGTAAACGTGCTCTAGTGCATCTACACTCACAAACTGAAACCTTCTCACCTACGTGATACCAGTGCATATGCTTCACCTGAAAATTTTATCATAATAACATTACATAATTATAAGCATTTAGCTATTTAAAGTTATATATAAAACCGAATTTCTAACAAGATCCCAAAACCCAGACCATATTTCTTCTCATTTAAAAATATGAAAATTGGAAGCAAACGAAATCTAGTACTGATGCAGAAGTAAAAACCCCTTTTAGTTCTAATTGTTAAACCAGCAAGACCATGGAAGAGCATTTTACATACCATCAATGTTCTATGCTTCATAAGCACATGGGTCTTTGTACCCTTGTCATTATAGACATAACAACAACCTTCATCTGGACTGCTCCCAAGTCCAGATATGGTTCCCAAACGAATTCTTCTTTCAACTGCACCATTTGCAAAGTAATCATTCCAAAAACCACCGCTGATATGTTTGGGATCTTCATCTACGTTAAGGAACACGTGAATGTGATCATCAGCATCTTCTGTCTGCACCACACCAGAATAGCGTTTTCGTTGGGCCCTAGATGCCGTAGCAACCACTCTTCCAGAGATATGCAATTCTAGATCTCCATATGCATCTGATACAATACTTGAAGTTTTAGAACTGTGAACTTGGTCAGTTTCAAAATCATCTGGTCTTTCTGCATTGTGGACGTTCACATTTGTTAAAGATTGACACAAGCCAGAATGGAAGGATCTAAAAGCAGTTATTTTTTCATTGTTAGTAGTTGATATCTCTGGAACCTTGTTGACTAGGCAAACCATTCCAAAAAGATCACGTCCTGAAACCAAATGCAAAACCTCAGGAGTTTCGTAAGAGGACCTCTCCTCAGCCTCAAAGCAGTCAGGAAGAAGTTCCATGGGCACAGAATCAATTTCAGGACCATAGTATGCTGCATGAATAGCTGAATAAAAATCTCTTTCAAGTACATCAAAATAGCCTGTTCCAACCACCACCTTCTTCTCTGACAAAATGTTATTTATAGCTAATCTGTACCACTTTAACCATTCAACAACCTCCATTTCCCTGAACGTTGTAGCTTGTGATTTGTAAATATGCAATTTTGAACCCTGCCCAGGATAATGTTGCATAAGCTTTTTCTGAGCCAACAGGTACATGTCATAATGGGCTCTCTTTTGAGAATCTGAAAGAATCTGCAATGCATTATGAATTATTCTGTTAAGTCAATATTCCCTGTAAACCAAGGTAAAACCTCATTCTAGTTACCCGCACAGACTCCATGCTTCCAACAGTTTAAGTCATGAATGAATTAATAGGACGAATATAGCCAATACATCAGCAGAAAACACCAAGCCAAAAGAATATTTATTAGACCATGTACAGCATAAATTCCATGGATAATCAGTTTGTCCCCACCACTACCTTAATACATGTTTGGTGTTCCAATAAAGCCACCAATGCAAACAGTACCAAAATCAATCGGCAGATGCAAATTTATCAGAATGACGCTATTCATTCACACTTTGGGCAATACAAACTATCAAAAATGAACCGGACAGCTATTAAGAAACCTCCAATCTAGTTTTTCTTTTAATCGAACTATTGGGTGCGGAATATCCTTCAAGGGCAATAAAAAGCTTTTCACATTACTAATATTAATCTCCAGGGGAGCTTCTTCGAACTCATTGCATCAATTTGACAAATTTTCTGTGATTAAGAGCTAAATAAACACGTTACTCAATGGAGAAACAAAATAGTCTATCGAAAGTTGTTATGACTCTTGAACGCGTTATTTCTCCATTTTATAGCCATTTAATTATCGACTTCAATATAAATTCGTCGTACCCTGAATATTCATGGAAAACCAATTATCAGTCTATTAAACACAATCGTAAAGAAAATATCCCCTAAGCATAATTTTAGAGCATTCTTAAATGAGCGAAACTTCGTTGATATCATTTTCATTCAAGTTATAATTTAAGCTATCTCAAAAATCTTGGTCAGGAATAAAATTACCCCTACACTTCTGACACTGAGGCTCAACAATCATAAACCTGAACACGGTTTGCACGAACCTCGTATGCGGCCAGGATTTGCACAAATCGTCGTGACGCAGTGGAATCCTTCCTTGACTCAGCGAGATCCGGGTGAGTTTCTTTGGCCAATTTGTGAAACGACGCTTTGATCTCAGCGGAGGAGCTGGTCTCCGACACTTCTAACAGCTCGTACGCGTTCTCTACTGGAAAATCTGTCCAAGCTGATTCAGAAGCGCTACTGAAGCCGTGCTGTCTGCAATTCCGACACAGAGATACGACGACGTAGAGCGTTGAATTGGTGTTGTTTGGAATAATTGAGATAAAAAAAATTGGCCTCCGGTGAATGATTCCAACGACTGTGCTGTATCCGGCACCGACTAGATAAATCATAATTTTCCCCCTCTTTTCTGTGTTAAAGCTGTGAGTGGAAAAAGAATACGTAATTGCAGAATCACCTTACAAAAACAGCACCCGCGACGAGCGGATAAATAACTGTTACGCTATATGAAGAACGTATACATGTTCTACCTGTTGGTAGGAAAGATCCTTTCGATATAACCACTGTAAAATTATGGAAAAATGTTATCAAATTCTTAAACTTAATTTATTCATTTTCGTACCTAAATGTTTTGAATTTTATGTTTGTTTCAATTCATTTTAAAATTTGTTATTATAACTAAATATTTTAAACCTTGATATTATCTGAAATTTTCATTAAATCTTATTTTTACAAACAACAACTTTAAATTTTAATTAATCCTTGTATTTCTCTTCTTCTTTTTTTCAAATAGTCCATTTAGTTAATTTTAGGTTAAATTACTAATGGAAAATTATTTTTAAAAATTAACTATCTTAAATTTTAAGCATTTAATTTTTTATAAAATGTTTTTTATAAACATAAAAAATTAACAAAGTTTGGAAAATTCTTTTATTGTTTTTACTCTGTCTTTCTTGAATTAAGAATATTATATTTTAATGTTTGAAAAATGAATTATAATTAAAAACATTAAAGAATGATAGATCTTTGAATAAAATAAATAAATTATTTTAATTTCTTCTACGTTTATAATTTAACTTCAACTTAATTAAAGGTATTTTTGTAAAAATAAATAAATTTTTACTTAATTGGGATAAAATTAAATTTTAAAATAAAAAACAAAAGAACAATTGAGATGAAAAAAAAATTATGAAATTTTTATGTGAGAAGGTAAATTTTAAGAATTAATTCAAATGAAAGTAATATAATATTTTTTATTAAATTATTTTTAACTTCTTAATATAGCATTTTTTTTTTCATTTAGTTCCTTGAAAATGATAAATTTTCATGTTAATATCTCAAATATTATCCTTATTTTATTGTCCTGTAAAAATAAATATATTAACAATTTTTATGAAATTAGTTTGGCGGTGAAGTTTTTATAAACTATTACGAAAATTGGGAGTTTTTTTTTTCTTCTAAATATTAATCTATTGTAATTAAAAGAAAATTTGATAATGTAGCCGATATGTAGGCTGAGATGGGCCCAAATTGTACTGCATAGCAGGGGGGTGCATGAATTTGCTGAAATTCCTCCTTTTATTTCTGCCACTTACTTTGCTGATAGGTCTATGATATCTATTTCATCGCAAACATGATTCCTGTATAAATTCACTTAACTACAAGTGAGAAAAGCAAGGAAGTACTTGCCAAAGAGATGAAATTCTTTTAGACTTTGCAGGCATCTTGTCTCAAAATTAAAGAGGATTTTAATTTGATATTTTAATATATATTTTACTTTTTTCACGGAAAAATTTCTCCCTTTATTTTAAATTGATTAATAAATACCTTAATTAATAATATAATTTATCAACTGATTTCTATTATTTGTTTTTTGATTATTAAAGAATAGCTTACACAACACTTAATATTCATTATTTATTTGAGATAAAGTTAAAATAAAAAACATTTTAATGAATTTAAAAAGTCACTTAATATAAAAAATATTTTTCTAAAAATGACTCTTACTTTAAAATGGAGTGAATATTTAATAGTATAAAAGTAAATATACTTATCATAACTCATGAATCCATATAATTGTATCATTTAAAAAGAAATACGAATTGTGTAAGGATCCATTAACATGAGTGTATTTCATAAAACTTATATTTATCATTGTGATTTATAATTAGTAATAGATATCAAGTCAAAATTTAATTCCTTGAAAAATAAAATGCGGCGCAATATAATAACAGAAGTTATAGCTAACAATGCACATATACGATAGAAGGATGCAATATAAGCCAATCTAATTCCCTTCACTGCTTTCATCAGTCTCCAACTATGCCAATACAAATACAATATTTTGCTACATTCAAATCTACTTATAAACCATAAATAACCTTAGGCAATCTAGACGATCCTTTTGGAGTTAGTGAAGAGACTTTGGTCAACCTTCTTGGATCAGTCATTCCCTGTGGTGGTGTTCCACAAAAGTGCGATAGGACTTCCAACAATGGTCTTTCCATTCGACCATTCTAATCGTCCAAAACCAAATCGATTCGTCGGTTTTGAACTTGATGCCGTGATCGTCAACGTAAACGATTTTTTCTCATTTTCCTTGAAGCTCAACACGTCTGGCTCAACCGTGATCTTAACGGACGAGATTTCCGACGTAACCGACGCCTTGTACGTTGATGCAGCTCCCACATTAGTCAGAGTCCGCGTGTGTTTAACAACCGGTGCAGCGGACCCACGTGCTGCTGCTGGTTGAAACACCGCACCAAATGAAGGGTAATTTAGGTCTGATACCCTGTAGTGTTTGGCTGGGTCGCACTTGACCTTTCTCTTCGTCACGGTTTCGATCCTTTCGGGTGTGTAGTTCAACGCACAGAGGAAGTTTAGGTAATCATCCACCGTCAAATCATAGATAAGTCCTGGATTAAGCGCGGCGGCGGGGTTCACATGTCCAGCGCCAAGCTCAAACAGTGTAGCCGGTTTACCTGTGGCACCGTCCAGTAACTTCTTACCGTTGCTGTAAGCCGTATAAGCCGTGGTCATCAGCGCGGATCGAATCGCGGCTGGGCTCCAGGCTGGACGAGCCGACTTAATCAGAGCCGCTATCCCACTCACGTGAGGGCATGACATGGACGTGCCAGAGAGGATGTTGAAGTCCACGCGCCTAGTATCTTCCTCTACGTCAGTAGGACCCACAAGCTTCGACCATGCCGCTAAGATGTTGACACCTGGTGCAATGACATCAGGCTTCAGTATCTCTGGTACGAGAAGACTTGGGCCCCGCGAGCTGAACGCCGCAACAACCGGTGACGGCTGGAACCCAACCTGAGTTCCCTGAAACACAATCGTAGCCGTCGGTTTTGGATCGGACAACAAGTACTTCTTGAGGGCTTTTCCTGCCTGGAAACCCACCACAATTGTGGGCAAAAGATGAGCATCAACAATCAAGTCCTCTCCGTTGGCTTCCGAGTTAGCCAACACCATGGCCGCACCACCAGCGGATTTCACCGCAAATCCTTTATCGGTTCTAGAACCCAAACCGCGATCACACAGCACGATCTTCCCCTTAACCTTTTTCGGATCCAAGCTACCCGGTTGACACTCGCTCGATCCTAGTTCCCCTCCGTATATAAACGACAAAGGGGTATTGGGCAAATCATTGCTGCTAAAAATTGACTCTCCGGAATATTTTTTTCCATCCCCAAGTGTAATGTACGACGGGAAACGGCGATCCAGTGTGCCAGCTCCCACGTTGATCATCCATGGTGCTTGGTTCAAAACAGAACCGAGATCAGGACCCGAGTTTCCTGCGGATGCAGAAACTATAATCCCTTTTTCCATTGCCACAAAGGCTCCAATTGCGAGACCGTCTTGGTCGTAAGCGGGTAATCCACCTCCGAGTGATATTGAAATGACATTGACGTTGTCTGAGATGGCCTTGTCCATTGCTGCAATTATATCAGACATAGCACAAGCCTCGCTCCAGCAAACCTTGTAGACAGCGACTCTAGCGTGCGAGGCCATGCCACGTGCCGTTCCGGAGGCGAAGCCGAAAAGGCTCGCGCCATCCACTGGTGACCCTGCGGCTGTGCTCGCAGTGTGGGTGCCGTGGCCGTCATCGTCTCGCGGCGATTTTGACTGTTGGTTGATAACACCCACGGATTTTTCGTAGCCCTTTAGGAAGTACCTGGCTCCTATCAATTTCTTATTGCAGTTTGCGGCAGTGAAATTGGCACCTGATTCACACTCCCCCTTCCAAGTGCTGGGGATGGGTCCCAGTCCTGTATCGTCGAAGCTCTTGCTTTCGGGCCAAACCCCAGTGTCGAGGAGTCCAATAACAACGTCACTTCCAGCGTTTGAGTCGTCAACGAACATATCAGAGATTTTATCGAGTCCGAGAAAGTGCGGCGTTCGAGTTGTGTGTTTCACGAACGTTTGCTCTGGCTGCACCTTTAGAACCCCCGTTCGGGTTTCCAGTAATCTAGCTTCTTTAGATGTTAGGGTTGTTGAGAATCCATGGATGTTGTCATAGATGTAGAGCATTTCTGCTGAGTTGGATACCGATTGCAGAATCGATTTATACCAGAATGAATGGTGGTTAAAGACTGCTGGCATTTCTGATTTGGCAACATAGACTATGTAAGGACCATTATCCTCCTTCAACGTCGCCAGGGATACGTCGGAGAGAAGCAGAAACAAAAGACAAAGAATTGCAACGAGGTGTTTGTTTAACGTCTCCATGCTAACCAGCTTTGACTGAGCGAGACTATGAGAGCAATGTAATAGTAAGGTTGGCTTAATAAAGAGGTTGTTTAATGCAGAGTATGAAACTGTTGCAAGCCAAGTGTGGAGGAAAAATGAGAAGAGAACAAAGAAAGTGGGTGGTAGTTGTCACTTGTCTGGCCTGGTTAATTGAGTTGTTACATTTGAGAAAAAAATAAAGGAACAGAGTAGAATCGGGGAGTAAAGCAAGCAGTTCAGTGCACGTTGCACCCTTCTCTTCTCATGCAGCATACAAAACCAGATTTGCTTGCCTAGGGTGAGCGTTACTGTTGACTACGCTCTTCTCTAGGTGAGTTATTTAAAGTGTCTTTGAATAAAAAAAATAAAGGATTTAAGAATTTTCAAAAAGAAGTATTTAATATTTAAGATTTTTAAAGAAAATAAGAATTTTTTTAAAACTTATGCAAAGTAACACATAATAAATAATAAATTATATATATATATATACGAGAAGAATCTTATTACAATAAATCTAAAAATTCATAAAATTCATACAATTGACATGAATTTTTTATTTAATTTATATATAATAAATTAGAATTTATTATTTTATTAACCGTTAAATATAGAAGCTTGATAAAAATGTATAAGTTTCTCATTCTCCTATATATATAAATTTTATTAAAAATTACAAAATTTAATGTATTAACACTATTAAATACTAAATTTTTTTTTATAAAAATTTATTATATGCAATGTTG